GGAAGGGGTACTCTGTACATTCTTTGAGTCAGCAGGTCTGCTGCAGCTGCACGGCTAGACCTGCCAGCTTCCTTGGGGTGTCTAAGCAGGACTTTGATTGACATATGTGGGAGGGGGACCTCCTTCGTTACATTTCCCCCGCCTGGTCCCTGACTCATAGACCCCCCACCAAGTTACATATGATGTAGCGGTTTCAGAGGGACGTGCTGGACCACAACCAAACATGTACCCAAAAATGGGGGGGGGGGGGGGGGGGCGGGGCCTGGATGTCGAGGAATCCCCACCCCCCCACCCCAGATTACATTAACAAAGGGCCCCCGTGTGGTATATGATATATTCGTGGTAAATTACATATTCGTATGTGCATTGAAAGGTCCAGCCAGGTGACACGGAATCCTTGTTGGACCGCTCTGGACAGCAGTGCCTCGCTTATCTCGATGGACGGCCCCACCCTCGGGAAGGACATGCTGAAACCTACCGTCATGACAGAACAAGCCACTTGAGGACAGTTCACTGCAGCGGTCGCATACAGTAAATCACCACGTGTGCACCAAACATAGAAACATAGCAAAAGTCTTTACCAAAATAAGCAACCTAACGCAGCCCAGCCTCACCCAACCCTATCCTAGCCTAAGCCCGAACCTCGCCTAACCCAACCTGACCAACCCTGGCTAAACCAACCAACTAAACAGTAGCCGTCTACCTAACCACCTATCTGATCTAGCCCTACCTTAACCCTAACCTAGCGGATCCTAGCCGAATGTGACCCTAACCTAACCTCACCTTTGACCTGATCTTTAACCCGGCTCCGAACTTACCAAACCAGAGACGCAACCTGTGTGAAGCCAACTAGCCCAGCCTAACCTGTCTCTCAACCCAACCCTAACCTAACCCTGACCTACCCCTAAGGGCCTAAACCAAACTCCCAATCGCTTACCCAACCGTTAATCAAAACTGAACCTGGTCGTAACCTAATCCAACCTGGCCTGACATAGCCCTTACTTACCCTAACCTAAGAAGACGTGGCCAAAGCGTTGAGCCTTCAAATGTGGAAGCAGATCCACGCCAAAAACAGAGCTATCTTTTGCGACGCGTTTTGTGCTTGGCATGGTCTTCTTGGTGGCAACCATGGTCTTCGTGGGGAATCCCGTAGCGTGGCTCAGTGAGGCACAAGGTATTGTTGGTGAGGAACGAGCCCTTTAGTGAGCCGGAAAAGGCTTGTGACAGAACTAACTGTTGTCCGTGAAAGCCCACATGACAACTGGGCATACGCCTCGAGTATTGAAGCTGACAACCTGAATTCAAGTCCAATGAGACCTTGTTGAGTCCGAGTGGCAGTTCGAATCCACTTTGTGCCGCCTCATCCAAGCTGGCCAGTGATGCTGCTGAGTTCCTTCCAAAGCACGTAGAGTCGTGATGTATTGGGCAACATACGTCTTTTCACATCTTTTCGCTCGTGGAAGTGCCATGGCTAGAACTTGGTGGGTTGTGCTGCAGTGCACTTCTGAACCTAACGCAGACATGTTCACACAGGATCCTGGACCGAACACACAATGCACTCAGAAAATCGCACAAACAACCTACTGATTTGCAATCTCAGTTCCCTCTCCACGGCCGGTCGTACATGGCCTCAGCTTATCGGAAGACCGGATTCGGAGACTGGAACTTTGGGTTGCATTCATCTGAGATCTGCTGCTGAGTGACGAAGATAGCCTTGATCTCAGGGTACTGATTCCTGTGCATCTCATTGTAGAGCTCTACGTCCTCCAGGGGAACTGATGCCTCATGTGCTAGTTCTTGCCTGCGTCCAACAGACATGTCAGATCAGCTGGTCTTCATTCTTAGGCTGGTAGAACTCTCCCACGCGCGCAGCACGTGTGCATTAACTTGTCGTGATTCAACCTGTCAGATGGGCACGGACTAGAAAAGAATTGGTCCCAAGAACTCACGGCACGGTCTTGCTCTACACGAAATTTGCAAGAAATGCGGGACAAGTTGTCGATCTAGACAATCCGGCTTACATTCATGAGCCGTTTCGTGCAGAGGCTCGCAAAATATGTGCAAGTTACAGCAAAAGATAGCGAAAGACGGCATGCAACTGCGTCAAGATAAAGAGTGAAGAAGCTCGTAATTATAGAATAGGGGCTTCCAGAATTTGCCCGGTGCTGCATGACATGCGTCTGCCGCAAATGTTTTGCTTGAACCCCTCCCGTCCGCGCGCGAAGAATACCACAAAGCCACATCGCCTTGTTGGGCAAGGCCTTCTCTGCGAAGCGCTCGCAACACGACCTCCAGCACCTCTCGAGTCATGAGGAATTTAAGCACTTCTTCAACCATTCAACCACTCTTGAAAGGGCTTTGCATGGCTTGGCATGGCATCGTTTGTCAGCTCGGCTGTTTATGAGACAACTCTTCGCCCTGAAAACGCCCTGAAAACGCGTGTACGACTCTGGGGGCACTTTCCGATCCATGTCCTTGATCTCGAAAGCAACAAACCTGGCCAGCAAGTGCAGGTAAAACCGACGACAAGGAGCACACCTGACCCCACCTCGGGGAGTTCCGGTGCAGGATCTGGAGCAGCTGTCCCAGCTGCAGCGCCTGATCACAAAGAGTCAATGAATATAAACTCGACCTCTAAAATTGTTATCCCCACAAACGAATCTCCAAAGCGGTCCGAGGCTCCATCTCTAATCCCCCCAAGCATGCACCGATGTCTGTCACCCTGAACATATTCGACCGCAACCGAATCACAAGCAGCATGTACGTGTTTCAGTTGTACCGTGGCAGTCGCAACAAAAGCGAGAACGACAATGAAATCTCGTTCGGATTCGAAGCTGTGCTTGACAACTGCCAGAATGAAGTTGGCACGCAAAAGGATTCGGCACAAAACGAATGCTAGATCCCCTCATCTCACCATATTGCCACCTTGTGCACATCAAAAAACGGACAGAAAGTACTCTGACTGCAGCGCGACAGGGAAAACTCGCAAAATCTCGCGACGAGTGTTCTCAGCATTTCCAATGATTTGAGTTACTTTGCTGCATCGTCTAAGGCACGACATGATGTGTAGCATAGGCGGCTAACAACATAAAAAATCACCGTAAGTCAGAAAGCACGGGAAATGATCGCCTTCCAATGTCCCAATCGTCACTGGCAGCTCATAATTTCGTAGGCTAGTTCTACTTATGGCCCTTTTCACGCTATCATCGTCCGACTATTGTGGCGTTGTTGCTCGGCCGTCAGCCTCGTGTCAGCATGCCAACAGAGAAGACTACGAGATGATGGCCCTCAAATTTCGAGTGCTAGCTGGTGCTACTTCGGGTTGCAAAACATGAAAAAACATGGTCAAATCTTCGCCGAAGGATGCAGCACATGCGCGGGGCAGAAACGAGACAGGGACTACTGCATGTGTGGTTGCAGTCCAGCACACCCTTTGACAGGCCTTGCCCATGTCTCCAGGGATCTTCTTCATGTCCACCTCCACGGTTGCGGATTCGTTGTGCCGGCGCACGGCTGTGGGCACCAGGCTTTCCTACAGTCGACAGGACAAGGAAACGTCGCTTCTTGCATACTTCTGCATCCGCTTGTGTTAACTTTGTCTCAGGCTCGAAATCATCCGGATGCCCGGCCACCAGCTCAGGCTCGGAGCCACTGTCGCGCCGAGAAACCCAGATTCGGGTTAGGTCCAGGTCAGCCTGACAAGTCTAACCGCGAGCGGACTGGCGTTCGCAAGTTCCTTACACAAAGGTGCCTCTACGCAACGCAGGCACAATCCTGCAACCGCCTTCAAGTGCATCTGCACACTCGGTCAACCACCTCCTTCATGAACTGCTGCCAAGCCGCGCACTCAACGTTGCTGCTAAACAGCTCTTGCACCCGGGTCGCAGTGAGCAGCTGAGCCCCGACATGGTCCAAGACTCCTGGAACCGAGCTATGTCTACCAGACAAGAAGACAAGAGTGCACATCTGAGCTCGGGTCCTCGATGGGAACAAGCTTGTACTTGAAAATTCGAGCAGGGAATCTTGACAGTCCGGACATCTCGTACACCAGCTCCTGCCGAATGAAGTCCTGAGTGCACGTGCCGACTAAGCGAGCCGGAATCATCTCTCATCTTGTAATGTATGCAAGACGCGGATCCACTGCAACTACGGCAGACAAAATGACGATGCGGCTCGGCGTCGGCCCAGCTTTAGCAGCAGCAGCCACAATGACCGTCGCACGAAGCCAGTTGTGCGACAATGCATGAGTTCTAACACGTTCAAACAATAAGCTTGTCCACCACCGCGAGCTAAGTCATCCACTGCATCGTAGCGGACAAGCGCTTCTCACCAACTCACTAAAACTATACCAGCTTCCTCCGTAGGCCGTGCATGTGCGGGTCTGATGCCAAATGCTGCGCGAGTTCAGCTGACTGAAAGCATCGCTCACAACCTAGCATCTGGGAGCCTCTCGCAGCTGTCACCACACACGCAATATCATGGTTGGAAACCGATTCGCGTACTGAATAGATAAACCATCCGAAGCTCTGACACACCTGAGCCCTTAAACAATAACTTTAGCCCAAACCTACCCTCAAGACCCTAAACATCCTAAAAAGCCTATAGGCTCTATGGGGCAAACAAACGTCGTCACCTGCCCCCTGAGGAAACCTGAGGACACCCGAAACCCTAAAGCCCTGAAGAGGCGTTCGGGACAGGACCAGAAACCCCAAAAGACCCTAAACTAAACCCTCAAAAGCCTCAACCCTACAAACCCTCACTCAGCCCTCAAAAATCTTAGCCCCACATGCTGACACCAAAGCCCTAAAAACCCGAATTCTCGCGTTTATACTTGAGTTGCCGGTGCCACAATCGCCGGTGTTTGAATCGCCAGTGAACAGGTCGTGTGCTTGCATCGGCGGTGGAACTTTCGCTTGAACCCCAGTAGTTAAATCGGGACCCATGCTTGAATCATGCGTTTACCAGGCAACGCTTCGGCTTTTGGAGGACCACCGGGCGTCCTTGACCTCAAACCTCTCCACCTGCCCGGTGCGGAAAGCCGCCTTGCGCACAAGGACATGGGAGGGCCTAGCAGGCACTAGCAAGATGCGATAGCTATTATTCAACACCGCTGGCTCTTGATCTGAGGTCATCGTCCACACTTACAAGTTATAGGCTTGTCATCGCTCAAACAGCAAGCGTCAGGTCCGAATGGAAGCAAATGTGCTGGAAGCTAGTCTCCGGCACAAATGACCACGGCACACATGTGAGCATGCACGGCCTCGTTGTATGGAATCTCGGGGCAAGCATTGATGATGAGGTAGCTTCTGAGTCACCACATGTCCAAGGAACGCCCACCATTCAAGATTCAAGATTCAAGATTCAAGTTAACATGCCTGGGAAAGGTGCCAGACTGACATTCATCTGGATCCTCATTGTCTTCTTTGGCAAGATCACAAAACCATCAGTCCTGAAACCTGAATGAATTCACAAGGACTGGAAGTTCGGTGTACCAGAAACGAAAGGCGTGCACTGCAACCAAGAACCAGGCAGAGCACAACCCTGCCGTTTGACGTGTAACCACACAAACCAAGTAACAGTCAGAATCACACTGAACAAGACAGAGGCTTAGTGGCTGACTTCCTGTGGAAACTTTCGCCTTGCTGCCCTTAAGCTGCTTGGCAACTACAGCCTCGGAGGATTATCGGATCAAGAGCCCTTCATCCTCACGCCAGAACCCTTCATGCGTGGAAAATGAGCGAAACATAGCGAAACCATTCTGCAACATTCCAAAACTTCTAAATCCCTTTTGCTATATCTTGTTACCCTGGGATTCCGAGGGCCAGTCTTAGAGTGGAAGGTTTCAAAGAAGCGGACCACCTCCGTCAGAGGATTCCGATAGAATTGCATCCTCAGTCCAAGCTGGGCAGATAATGTGAGCAGAGGTTCAGCGAGTGAAATCTGATACTTGGGCGGATATTGGAGGCGTAAGCAGGAAAACCGGACGACTCTTGACTGAACCAAAAGGTTTGCCGACAGCTGAGCAAAATGCAGCCATCCATCAGCCGGCACGCTCATGCTGAGTAGGCGGGGCCTCAAGTTTAGCCAGCAAGAAACTTCCCTCACCCGCCCCGACTCGCGACTTCTTCCAAGGGGTCGCAGTACAAGGTCGCAGCGTGATGTATACCTCAGCTCCAGCTGTAAAACGACGGCACTCCTTTTACTTCAAGGGCTGTCGAGGGTTTCATTGGTCCACCGCATGTCTGTGACGGCTGTCCAGGCTCGTGCTGCCACACGAACAGTAACAGCACTATGTTCAATTAAGCATCGGCCTGCTACAAGCGAGGCAACATGCGCGAGGCAAAGACACACAAAGCCAAGGTGCCAAATCCAAGTCGAAGTCTTCCTGCGAAGTGGTATAGCACGCTCATGCCAACATGCCATCAAGATAGCAAACAGCAGCAGGAACAGCAAGAACTGCGGCAGCAGCAACAGAGCGCACAACCCACCACCACCAGCACCGCCACACTCTTCATGCATCCACACAAATCTGCCAGAAAACGGCGGCAAGTCATGCAAATCATTACTGGACGATATTCACGACACCGCGTCATGACCACACGAACGTCGGCAACAAATCCTTCAACTGGGGGTGGTCAAAGCTCATACAAATCTCGGCCTCAAGTGAAACGAAACGGCGCTTGTTTTCGCCAGTGATCCTCCGCCTCGGCGGGTCAAAGCTGATCACTTGCAAGCCAACCACATTGCAAACGCAGCAGAGCGTTGGTGACCTTCCAGTGGTTCAGCTTGAAAAACATTGAAAAACTACGCTAAGCCAGCGGTCTGCTTCACTTCCGAAGCTGTCGCAGTCGCAATGCGAGGAGTTGGTACTTTCAGCACAGCCAGTGCCCTCAGAAACTGAGGTGCCTGCATTCGCTGACCTCAATCGCAAGCAGCAAATCAAAATCCATCCAGATCGTCTTGTCGCGTGGATCTACACGGCACAGCTGCGCAGCAGCACGTGGAAGCCCTGAAGTCACAAAAGCCAACGATTGGCCGACAGAAGAACGCACAGGGGGCCATGAACCCAGAAGTGCATACTTTATGCCATCGATGAACCCCTAAAAGGGTACTCCAGTGGTCCAAGAGAGAAGTCCCAGAGCACCAAGAACGCGGCAGCTCCCCATTTCCATTGCGCGATGAAACACGAGATCACAGCCCAGCACCCTAGACATATCTAGAACCTGCATCCGGCTTCAGAAGCCGGTCACCTAGGCGAGAGAACGACTTTTTAAGTCCAAAATGAATTAGGGCCTCGAGAAAAAAGACAATGGTCCAGGCCGGTGCGCCGCGCGTGCGCCGCGCGTGCGCCGCAGGTGCTCACCGATCTAACGCCACATGTCCAGCTGCAGGATGACGAAGACAATCGGCCCGGATGTGAAGCCATCAATATCCACCAATTGCTGTCCAGTTCGAGGTTCCCCGTGGCCCAAACTATACATGCTCCGTACATACCGGCAGGTTTGTCCTGGACCAGGACACCAATCATCCGCCGCAAAGACTTGCTGAGTTAACCCGACAACCCGGCTGCAAGGCTTACGTTCTGACTGGTGGACCATGGAACATGACCAACACACGACTGTGCAGGTGCGGTGCTCGCTTGACGTAGTTCGCTAAGTTCGCTATGTCCTAGAAGGGCGAGTGGCATGCGATGGCGTACACAACACGTTCGAGCTCCGGCATGAACTGCCTAGCCCATGATCTCAATCACCCCGCACAGCACAGAACATCTTCTCCTGTGACCCGGCCCTGTCCGTGAGAAGCCAGTCCTTGCAAATCCTACTCCTACTCTCCAAGATTCTCAAAGCAAATGCGGCTAGGCCGACGGCATAATTACAGATCCTTGACTCCTCCGCGCCCAAACGCAAGTGAGTGTCCACGGCTGGGGTTGTCACGTTACGTTCGACTTCGCGTGCGGTGGTTCCGGACACACGGTGCTGTGGTTGCTTCGCCGGCTACAAAGCAGTGAGGCATGAAGTGTGAGCTATGAATTTGGGGCAGGTTGCCATGCCCTGAGCGCAGTATAGCTGCTGCTGAGGAGCAACACCGAGGCAAAGCATGGCTCACGAAAACGGCGATGCGAACGAGTCGCAAGATCCTGCCATAGCAGCTGCCGCTAGCCGCCAGGTATCCATGCATGGGTGTGAATTCGAGCATTCAACAGCAGCCCTTTCTGCATGCAGAAGCATGTCCATCAACAACAACCACAAAGAAGCAGAACCGCGCCACTAGAGTGCCTGAAGACGCGTAGGAGCCGCAGATACCTGAAGGGTCCTGCACATGTTGCACAGGAGCACAAAGGTCTTTCGATATCAGGAGCACTCACAAAAATCACTGCTGGCCTCTCTCCCCAGCAATCTCTGTAAAAGTCTGTATAGCTCCGGCTATCGTCAAGAGTACGATGGCGGTGTCAAACCTGGCAGCACAAAACGAAAACGGACTCTGCCAAAATACATTGAAAGCTTGAGCTTCTTGCAGCGAAGGAAAGCAGCTGCAATGGAAAGCATCTGCAAGTGTGCAAGTTGCAGTATGTTGCAGCATGTTGCACCCCAAAAACACACTAGTCGTCCACCTTGAACTTCGCACAATGCACCCAAAACTACACAATACTCCACAACTCCAAGTGCCACGCCAGTTCCAGCACTTCGAGAAGAAGACCTTCCGAAAGCGCGGGCTTTGAACAAACCAATGAAGTCACTCGCCGGGAAGAAAAGAAATCTCAAAGTGGGTCTCATAGCGGCGACTGAAGGGAACAAAAGGAACGGAGCCAGCAAATTTTGCTGCGCCCTAGGAGGCCCCTTCCGGAGCCTGAGTGCCCAAGCCATAAATCCGCAGCCCAACGTCGGCGGAGTACGCTGCGGACCTTGCAATACTTAATGTCGGCCAGTTCAATGTCTGCTGACAGCTGTGGGTTCCTAGCAGGCTGGAAAGCAGTAAGTCATTCCTTATCTTCTTCGCTGCGCACGGTTCTGCTGCAAGAACTCCAGGAGGCACTGGGTGTCTCACAGGAAGGCGAGCTTCAAAGCCTTCAAACATTCAGCGTGCACATGGCATTGAACTTGGATCTCGCACTCATCATCCACATTGCAGTAGAAGCAACAGTATCAAAAGGCGCCCTCATTTCAGCCGTTATGTTGTCTCAGGCCTCTGCAAGACCGGCACCGTTTGGATCAAGAACCAGAACCGAGCTCAGCCAGAAACCATGTAAGGCCGCCCGCTGCTGCTCCACGAACACTTCCGGATGCTTTGTATTGACATGCGTGGGGCGAGCATAGTCGAACTCCGAGAAACATTTTTGGCAGGCCAATGTCTGATGCAGCTGGAACTGGGCTCCAGCTAGCTCCGGCTATCTTTTGTCGCACTGAATTACGACTGTTCTGGGCTGAGTTTTGAGGGTTACCTCGGCACATACCTTTCCTGGTGACAACCTAGTGACAACTGGGGTGAGGGCATGCCAAGTCGCGCAAGTCACAGCAAGTTTCCCCCCTGAAGCACATCTAGCGTCGAAAGTAATACCCGCACCTGTCAGAACACTCGCTCTCCAGGCGCAAAATATACTTTCGCCATTCGACCAACACCACACTGAAAACCATGCCTTACGATGGGAGAGGTTCTAAACAGAAGGGGCGCAGAATCTCAAAAACAGACGGGCCAAGTCCCACCACCACATGCCTGAACGACTCAAGAACCCGCACAAGGTGAAGCTGAACCTGGCCACCCACCACTCAGCAGTGCACACTTAAGCCCCCTCTTTAGCTGACATTGCCAATCTGAGAGAGCGCCTGCAACAATTCCATGTCTAGCTTTCTTGATTTTGTTCTTGTCGCTTTGTGCGCCAGCAGCTCCTCTTCTGTGCTTCGCATAAGAGGTTTCTTCGCAGAACGCACAAGATAAAAGACCGACTCCAAAAACTCCCCAGCGACTCCCCAGGCCCTCGAGCGACCCTGAGCATTGAAAGCCTTGATAGCCTTGCTATGCCTTGCTCAGGCGACGGACTGCATTTAAAAAGGTCACTTTCACGCTAAAACGCGAAAGGCATTCTCAGTTTACTGTGCTTCAAGATTAGCACCGAGGGCAGTACGTGAGCGCTTGACGAAGGGCTGCTGGCCCAAAGCGCCGACGGGCCCACAGCTGCAATGTGGCCCAGAAGCGTGGCGACGTCTAGGGCCTTAAAGCACCGAAAGCGGCCCCTTTGGTCAAGAACCGACTCTGCTAGGCGCACTAATTACAGTAACAGCCAGGCTGGGCGTTGTGAAGACTCTAGACGTCAGTGAAGTCAACAGCTGAGGGCCAAGCTACCGCTGCAAGTTGCAACAGTACCCACCTCCTCAGTAGTGGGAGCTAAGGGCAAGAAATCAAGCACTGTTCTTCTTAGCGTTTTCACACGAGGGCCCCACGTCGAGACACTCAAGCGCAAGGCCCACTCGCGGTTGCCAGGTTTCGGCTTCGCGGGTGTGCAACTGCCCGTCACGTACATCCTCCGCATGGCGCTCTTCGAAAACCAAAGACGCTTCAGGATGCTTCAGGGCAGCTCAAGTAGCCCCTGAATGCATATGGTGCCACATGCGCCCAAGAGCAGATCAACCGTCCAAGATCTTCCAAGTGCCGCGCTGCATGAGCGCTGCTCGCGCATCTCTGCTGCTTGGACTTTGCTCCTTCGATGCTCTCCCGGAAAGACTGCAGATGACCATGTAGGAATTTAGGGCTCCAATGGCTCGGTGAAATTTAGCTGCGAAGCCTGGTGTGTCAGGCGCCAGTGTTGCGGCGTCCGCATGGTCTGGAACCTGTCAAAAGTCAGAAACCCACCAAGCACCAACATGGGCTTCGACACTTCAGAGCCAGTTTGAGCTGCCTTGGGTCGACACGAGCTTCAGTCAGCCTGAGCTGCTAACCGTTAAGCCCATGCCCTCGGTGGAACTCATGGAGTCCTTCGAATTCGTCCACTGCAGTCGCCTTTCTTGGCCCTGGGCCGCGTGGCACGGCCCGAGGCGTCGGGAACAAGCACCTGCAAAACATGACTGCAATGACAGCTATTGGGGGGGTCCTTTGCTGTGCGACACAAAGCCCTAACCATGCCAGCAGCCTAGCAAGCCTATCTGTACTGTACTTTTTTGGCATGGCACCGGGATTGGCTGCACCGCAGGGGCCACAAGACAAATGGCACGGAGTGGAAAAGAGCAAACTTTCAGCCTGTCCCGGAGATCCAGCGCCCTCGTCGGACGACCGCCTGCACCAGATGTAACAAAGCTGAGCGGCCTGCGCATCAAGAGACCCTTCGGGGGGTAGAGAAGTTGAGAACAGTTGTGCTGCATAGCCCTGCCGCCAGCTCAGCCTGCACTATCAAGATTGAGGAGCCGCACCTTTCGGGCAATTGCGGCAGCTCCACAGACATGGCGAGCAGAATTGTCAAGGACAAAAGTCATGGACAAGTTCCGCTCCTAACGAAGTATTCATACAAGTCTATATGCACATACGTACATATACATATATACATATATACATATATACATATATACATATATACATATATACATATATACATATATACATATATACATATATACATATATACATATATACATATATACATATATACATATATACATATATACATATATACATATCTACATATCTACATATCTACATATCTACATATATACATATACACATATATACATATATACATATATACATATATACATATATACATATATATATATAAGTCATCTACAGAAACTGCCCAAGCGAGCCATTCTTACAGGCCCGCCCCTAGCGTGGTGGGGGAGAGGGGTCAAGGGTGTGATTGTCCGAGGCAGAAGCCATTGACGTGCATGGCACCAACATGCACGAACTTCATGACATTGCTCATTACCACTTCATCTGAAGTGCCCGTGAACCAATTGGAGGTAACAAACATCGGGAACATGCCTTTGCCATGTGAGCAGCAGGCATTTTTTCTCACGATGTGTTCGCAATCATGAGTTATGAGCAGGTAGGTCTGGGCATGTTTTCAAGGACCATAAACCTGCTACCAGAGTTTTCTGGTGACTTTGGCAGGTGCTGAAAGACTCATGCGAATGGTCGATGTATGCCACTCTGCTCTTCGTCAGCATTCTTCGGCAACTTCTGCAGAAGGTGAAGTTGCTAGCAGGAAGCGGAAGGTGTATGCAGCCTTGCGCGAGCTGGGTTCTGCAAGACAATATTCAGAAGTATTCAGAACATGTGACAAACAAATCATAACAAAGCGACTCGAAGGGCTGCCCAGGTGATTCGGCAACCATTCTGCGCAAGGCCCTCTGCAGCTGTGACCTGTAAAGCACGCGACGAGACCAAGCGAAGCACGATGCAAGTAGCAGAAGCAGATGCGTAGCAGCTCATGCGGCAGCCGCCCATGCTCAGCCGAAGTTCTGAATAGCAGTAACGGTGTCGCAGTGAATCTGTGGGATCTGCCGACTGATGCTGCAACTCGCTTGGGCTCCGACTGTGCTGCTGTGGATACTTCATCACCAGCCTGGGCTGAGCATGCTGTAGCTGCTGGCGCCGCAGAAGCACATGTCCTACCCTCGACTGCAGAATCTCGGTCACCCTTATGTAACATGCATGGCTCAGTACTATAGATGCCCTGGGCCGGCATGGCATAGGAAAACTATTCCTGCTTGCAGACGTGACTCAGATGCCCTGCCAAGCGGTGCACCTGTGCACTTACCGCTTTTCAGCCTCTGTGCAAGAACCAGATACGTCAAAAAGGAAAGAACCTGCGCGTCTCGCTCCAAGCGGAAGCCGCTTTGCGCTGTCCCTCACAGGGGGCATCAAGCATCAATGTCAATGGGGGTGTGTTGCGTGTAGACTTCGAGGTGGCAAAGAGGCTACCGGGGACGCTCACCTAATCAAGTCATTTGCAGAAGCGGCACAAAACGGTGTGTTAACACATTTTAACGCCCTTGGCGCTAAGGAGTTCCTTGGGCTGCATCTCCCAGCATGACTCACAAACCTCCCAAAAAGCCCCAGCGCCTTTCTTAGAAAACACCTGAGCGCCGCAGCCGCTCACACAGACGCTGTATACTCTGTTGAGTTCCTGGCAGCCCTCGGGGTCCTTGGCGAGGGGTTTCCCGGAGATTTTGAGCTTCGGAGTCCACGGCGGAAGTCACTGAATATCTTGCCCAGGCCTAAGAGTCGAGATGCTCAGACTTATGGACAGGGCAAGATAGACCATCACCTACGAGGAGATGAAACTGTTAAATGCCCATCTTTGTAGGCGTAAAGCTCCGAAAGGGTCCCAGACTCGTCAAAGCCAAGACGCCGAGCTGCTGGGCAAGCGTGCTCTCACTCTGGATTATGCCATTTTTGAACGGTAGGAGGACGGGAGTCTGCGGGCATGTTGAAGCAGGAAGCGAAGGTCTACGAGTCCATGCAATCTATGTACCCACCTCTCCGTCTAAGTGGGCATCGAGGTGCTGAACCTGAAATCACGATCCAAGCAATCCCGAGACTTGCCGGCAAACACACACAATATCAACAACAATCAACAACCTCTACACAACCTCTACACGCACAACCGAAGGGCCGTTTCGGTCAGGCGATCTGCCGAGATCTCGGCGGCGTGGATTCGGCGCTCAGCAGCCAAAAGCTTCTGGTGCAAGCTCTCCAGAGCTTCTGCACCTACCTCGCAGATGCGATGCAAAAAGGCGCAAAAAAAGAGATCAGAATCCGGACCACATGAATCACATGCGAACCTTTTTGCGCATATCCGGCAGAAGTCTCCGAAGGTTCTTGCATCCAAGGCTCCGCCTTTGCGGACAGTGAGGCCAAGGCTTTGGAAGCCTCACCGACCTGCTTTGTGAGGCTGTCCAGCATGACGTCCTTTCCAAACCAAGCGGGATTAGGAGGTTCGACATTCAGGATGCTCGGGAGCTGAAGCATGAAAACGAACTAGGAAGCGCCAACTTCACTTCAATAATGGCCATCCGCCTGCGCGTGGAGCTTGGCCTCCAAAGCACCGTGATACTTTCAATTGCTGATGCTCTGAAGATCTCAGGAGTCCAATGACAAAGCAGCCTCGCATTCTCCCAGACGCGGTTGCAGGCCTCCGATGGACCTGAGTCCAGGCTCTACCCCAAACCCAGCCACACTCCACATACTTCGTAGGTACCATCTTCCTGTGCAATGTGCCGAATATTGTTTTCGGCAGGCAACATGCTCACGGAAGCCTGACTCGCATGAAGCTCCTGGAGCTGTACCCTCATCCTCAGCCCACATCCGCAGCCAAACTACACTGGGCTCTCCTGCACTGAGCCAATCGAGCTTCACCTATTGCTACTCCAAGGAACTTGTCCAGACCGGGGTATGTCACATCCTTGTTGAACTTCTCCAGCGGCTTTTCCATGGGAGGTCGCCTGGAATGGGACGGCTCCCACACCAACAATCACCACATGTAGCAGTAGCGCCACATGCTCGGCCCTGCAGGATTCCTCAATCCAGTCAAGCTGCGGTCTGAGCTCTGCTGTCCTGATTTTCATACATGGTCTGGGCTTTCTGTGCATTACCGGCGTTTCTCCTCCAGTCTGTTCAGGCGAACCATCTGGGCAGCAAACGACCAAGTACGCAACCAGTACAGGAGCTTCCACAGTTTTCTCATGCGACCGAATCTCAGGCTCGTCTTGATTCGATCCTCCACCTTCGCAGCCCGAAGAAATCTCACAAGCGATGATGCCAAGCATGCAAACATGTGTCAACTATTGAAAGGTCTGGACTAAACTGCAACGCAATACGATGACGTCCAGCCTCTTGACACCTGCCGTGAAATTCGCTTGAAAGATCATCGAGTGCCTGCCGCTGCGCCTCCACTCGCAAAGGCACGAGGCAGTGAGCTGCTTATGCGCTCCTTGATGCTCCTTGCCAACCCATATAATATGCCAAATAACAAGCCTGATGATGCTCAAGTTTCTTTGCACAATTTTGCGCCATGATCAACTCCTGGCAGCAGGAAACGGCAAGCCTGCTGCAAGTCCACGTGGCTCCTGTCTGCAACCTGAAGTCAGCAGAGGCGTCACATACCGTCCAAACGAGTGGGTGCAAGGTGTCTGGGCACCTTGCCTGCCGCAATCGCGAGACCTCCCTCTCAGTGCGCTCCCGCGCCTGTCACACAGTGGGACCGGGGACGGTGCAGCTGCTATGACATACGTGCACATGATCACATGATCCCATAGGAGTGATTTGACAATTTGAAATCTCCAGCAGCAAGAGCTGCGAAGCCTCTGCCAGAGCTTTTTCGAACCGGTTTTTCAGGTCCTTGCCACGCAACTTGATTTCGGAAGACTGGAGGCTGCAGTACGAATAACACTAGTCAACTTGAAGGCAAGTCTGCCATGTTGCAGGCGAAAGTCGGTCGCAACCTCGGGCCCAACATTGTGACAGATCATGAGACTGCAAACAGCCAGTGCATCTGGAGGATCAGCTTTGGCGAGGAGGATCCCATGGACACAGCAGGGCGGAACTGATTGTGCGGAACAAGCAGCTGTATTTGCCGACTCAGACAGGCGGTCGGCGGCTTCTGCCAAGGCAGCCTCGAAAGCATGGTACAGCACAGCTGCATGCGAAATTGGCCATTCGAGCACCAGAGACTCAGAGACTCCATTCATCTCAAATTGCAACAAGGACCCGGGTACAGTAATGGGGTCTCAGAGGTGGCAGGGCTTGCCCGCCAACTTTCCCAGCCTCCCGTGCAACCAACCTGGTTCCAAAAGTCTGCAAAAAGTGGTGGAGCTCCTGTGTGAGAAAAGCAGCCACGTCGACTGATGCAAAACAACATGGCCAAAATCGGCAATCGGCTGACTTCCAGCTCCTCGTGCAAGCTTTCAGACAGCTTCTCCACGGCATAGTCCACACTGCTCATGCCCAATGTTCTCACCGGCACCAGCCCCTCATGACAATGTGAAACCTGGGACAGCAGCGCACAATCGCCAGAAAATGCACATAAGATTGCATGAGGTTTTGGATGAATTGCGATGCCTCTACAGCCAAAGGAAAAACACGGGTACCTTGAAAGTCAGGGATGCCATGGCATGCTGAGATTATCTGACATCGCCCCCGAGACCTGGTCTTTGCTTCCCCTCCACCAAGGAGTCCGAGGTGGGGAGGATTGAGCTCGACGATAGATCTTGGCGTGTTCTTCCTTACAGGCTGACTGCTGAAGCGAAGGCGGTTCTGCAGCTGCTTTGCATGGATCTTGTGGTACAGGTTCTTGCGGTATGCGTCTTACATGTTTGTTGCTGCAACAGAATTTCTGGCCCCTGTGGTGGTGATCGCTTTGTCGCTTGTTGTGATGAGCGACTTCGCAAGGGCCACCAGGCTCCACTTACGGCGTTCAAAGTTCAAGAGGCTCTTTTCACAACCCGCACCCCTCCAGATGACGCGCCAGTAGCATTTACCAGGTAGCAGCAAAGAAATGCCACAAATGATATGTGGTGACGTAATGGTACCAACATTCTCTACGGGTTGCCCTTCTCGGGGTGCTCTTCTTCCCCGATTTGCGCACATGTCACCTGCAAAGCAAGGATCCATGGCATCGTTGTCCATGTTTTTGAAGACGACCCTGGACGGAGGCACCAATGGCAACAAAGCGTTTCAAAACACGCCATGTCAAAGTGAGCTTGTGTCGCTGGTTGATCTGGTTGTATCAACATGGAAAACTGTGCTTGACCGCTGCGTCCTCGCACGGTGTAACGACGACTCAATGCTGAGAAGATCCAAGGCATGACGGTTGAGACCTTGGCGTGGTCTTGAAACACAGCCTCAAGCGGATTTACACTTAACATTTGGGATATCTGGGTGTGCAGCACGCCTGCGTTGCTGCAAAGGAGCCCAACATCAGCAGCCAGCTCGCGGCACGCTGCAGCCAACTAACATCCTACACGTAACCAGTGACCTTGACACCTGTGCCTTGCTAGTGTCTCGATGCGTGGACATGGCTCACAAAGGAAAACTTATTACTGGGAGCAGCGCCGCTGAGCCAGGTCAGGTGGCAACAAGCATCCGAATGCACAACATAAAGCCACCAGTCATCCGGGACTTCAGATTCCAGGCGTAGCAAAGCAACATCCAAAGAGCATTTTTCCCCAACACCTGCGTGTGAAGCTGCGCACGACTGCAGCAGCAGCACGCGCAAAGAGTGCAGGAATCCTCAACGCGGTCTGCATTCAGCCTTCTTGCACTTTGTGAAACACTGCTTTTGCAAGCAAAGCAGGGTAGCTGCTGTTCGGATTTGCTTTTGAAGTCATGGCCGCCGACAAGATGCTGATCTCGATGCCATTGCCCAACGATTGGCCCCGGCTCAGAACTCTCCAATCTTCGAAATATCTTTTCACAAGCCGGGTCGGTCCACAAGAGACCGGCCACCAGGTCACATGCCGGTGACTTTCCACATCCAACGCAGCTCACGTCGATCCCTGGAAAGGCTACACATACGAGCAGCAAAGGAGTTGTGGGACCAAGCATGAAGGAAGCTGCAACCACACGGCCACCAGCTCATCCCACCTGCCTCGTTATTCAAGGACTTGGCCGCGTTGCTCTCTCCTTCAGCCGCAGCTTCGAGGACACTTAAAGTTCAAGGGCACCCAAGGAGTAGGCACTTGTTGATATTGAGTCCGACTGACACTACACACTGCACACATGGCGAAGCATGTTTCCGGGATTCCTCATACCCCCTGCAAGATGGCCTGGTGAAATGAAAGACCGGCACGCCCCCTTTGTTGCCATTGTAAGCAACGTAAACACCTCTTACACGCATCAACTCATGTCAAGCGGTTGCTCCTGCAGTTTTTCTTCGCGTTGTGCTCCCGGCTGTTCCTGCAGCGCCTGTCTCGAACATCCCCCGCACATGAACCCCGCAGGCAAGTCAAACAGCCTTGTCTTCCTTGACAACTTGACAAAGTTTTGCAGCTTCCATGCCTCAGAGTTTTCGTAGCAAACCAGATGCTCACGTGCCACTTGGCATGCGACGTGTCTGAGGGCACCGCGAGTAGCCCACCCAGAGTCTTGCAGTTTCTCTTCCGGTGCCGCCTTAGCCGGTGAGCTCAGAACGGGCTGCATCACCCTGATATGATCACCCTGCACGGGTTGATCAGGATACGCAGCTGCATCCAAGAAACAAGGAGAGACAGAACGCCAGCCAAGATTAGAAAAGTCATGAAAAGACAAAGTTCGAGTCGCAAACTAGAGAACACTCCACGCCCCGATTCCCAAGACCAGGCACCATCAGAAAAGTCACCAAAATCAAAGGCCCAGGTCCGAAAGGCATCCAAACCGCGAAAGATTTGAAAGGTCGAGGAGGGTAAGGGCCTCAGGTTTTTCGAAGCCACGGCTTGCTTCGAAACATATGAGTTCTTCCTCGCCACCCCCCCTGTTTTGTTTATGTTTTACTCCCGTCTGTTGAAGCCGTGTAAAGAGCCGCGCAAGACTGCTTCAACACATATGAACCCTTTCCAAACTTGAGGGCCGGAGGCAGGGAGGACGAAAGCTCGGGGGCCGGAAGCAAGAGCAAAGTTGCAAGAGAAAGTGCGGGCAGGGCCCAGTTGGAGGCATGCTTGAGGGGCCAGCGTCTTCTTTTCAGCCGTCGCAGTGTTGGGAAGATACTAGCTTCTTGCAATCAACTAGCTTGTTGCAATCAACACATCACTAGTGGGCGGCGATGCATGTTGTGCTGGGAGCCTGACTCACGCGCTGCGGTCAACACGCGACGGAGTCAGGTCTTGACGTAAAAACGCCTCCCCTTAAGGTATTGATATATCAATTTACCCCCCCCCCCACCCCCCCCCCTAATAAGATAGTATCAATAATACGCTGTTTTCTGGCCGTGGTCGGCCCCCTGCTGCTAAAGCAGATAAAACTCCAGCTTCGCTACGCGAGCTTTCGTGATATCCTTTCCCAACCCATCATGCGCGCATTGTGCTTGCAAACGGGGCGAAGGGGGGGCTGTAAGCCGTGCAAAGCCCCATGATGCGAGCATTGTATTCCTGGGCTCAGGAAGACGGATGTGACAGCCTCAATCACAAGGCTCTCCATCGGCCCCCTCACCAACCAAAAACTCAACCCATCAGAACAAGAAGCATTGAAAACCTTCTACTGAAACCTTGCAACCCCATACATCGTATGTTGATGATTTGTTTCTAGGTTTTTTGGCTTGTGGTGTTTGCAAAATGTGGCCCTCTTGGCGGGTGTTGCCTGCGACTTCTGTTTTCTGACTGTGGCCATGTTGTTGGTGACCTTTGTCCGTGCTGTTTGAATTCAGAATCGATTTGCGAAATCCTGCTGCTTTCCCGCACCGAGTCCCGCCGCTGCACCCAAGGAGAGCCCCACAGCAAAGCTGGCATCCCCACATCCCCACATCACCTCCCTCAGCGTCTTCCCCGCAATTCATTTTGCGTTGTCATCTCAATGGAACGGCCTCGCAATTGCAGAGTACTTCCAAGAGTCCGGACAAGCTCGTGATTGAAATCTGATTTGCAAACGGGAAGATGAAAGCTACCGGCGGCACATTGGAGATTGTTTGTGCCAACAATATCTTGCGAACAACATAACAAGCCAGAAACCGGCTTGTTCATGCAACCCAACCAACTAACAGTGTGTGCCTGCATAAGGCTCCTGCCTGAACCGATTGTGTGCAAGCCGCTTGCTCTCGGAGAAGCCTGGATGCGTGGGATACCGAAATCCAACACAAGCATATCGGCCACACAACGACTCTGTTTATGGCGCGTTTCTGCCGACAGGGTATTCTGCGCTGCTGTTGTAATGCTAGTCTTGCCTGCGTTCACGTTGCTCTTCATTGCGCCGCCTTTCCACAGCAGCTTCCGATTTGACCTGCAACTCCAACATTGGCAGAGCTAGCAATGCTGCGAATACATCATCACTCTGAAATTGCAACGTTTCGCAACTGTCTCTGGATGAAAAGTAGCCTGAAACGAGCCAGGGCTTTGCACAGGCGGAGTGCTTGCCTGCAACCAACAGGGGGAACATGGAGAAACGGCCAGGCTAAACGGCTAAGCAACAAGGCACAGCTGATTCAAGAAGGTGCATGAAGGTGGTACAAAATCTGGTGCCACCTCTGCCCTTGGTCGCTGAAGCGATGGTGCTTCTCGGAGTTTTTCCTGAACATACGAAGCAAAATAGGAGGAATGCTGTGGGCTGCTGTCGGCGAACTGTCATTAAAGCACATCGGCCTGACGAGGCGAAGCAGGTGCATCAGGCGGATCTTCGCAAACCTCTTTATGTCGTGACAACTCAGGCATGCCATGCACACGGAAAATTTAAAGAACGCATGATTCGGCATCGGCCGAGAAACACGGGACTGTGGTAACATGTCTGAATCCACCGGCGGCCGCTGAGCGCAAACCTCTGCAAGGAGAACATTGCAAATGTTAGCAACCATATTGCTAGCTCGCAACTAATGCCAACTGCCGAAGGCGCCTGGCAAACGCCCATGCCCGTTTCACAAAACGTTCAATAAAATCATTGCTTCGAGCCAACAGCCACGTCAGTAAAAAAATAACATGTAAGAGCCTGCCATCTCATGCAAATCGTGGCACCAGTCTTTCTCATGGTGATGCCCCCTACACATGGCTCGGATGCCGACTCATATCCCTGTCCGCAAGATTCCGGAAGTCAAACAGATGTGGGATTCCATTTGGGGTTCTGTTCTGTCTACATGTCTTTGCCTGAGGGTTAATCTGTGTTCATTCGGGCCCCGCCTCGTGAAGGCAAGCAGAGACCAGTGGCCCCCTACAGCAACTGCAGAACGGCACTTTTCCCACAAGTTGTAGATCATGATGCTTTTGCAACCACTGCCCGCGCAGGTCATGCAGAGCACAGCAAGTGAAACCCGCCCTAAGATTGTCAATGTTATGACAATTTCTAAATGCCCTATTTTCCATATGGACCTAAACCCTAAACCCCAATTAAAGCCTCAACCCGAAACCTGCCTAAAACCTGGACATCAAGAGCAACCTATGTTCAATGATGTTTCCATGCACCCGTATGCACTCTATTCCTTTGCATGGGTAAAAGGTACAGCCTTTCTGGTTTCCAATCAGTCCTTGCCCTCAGCGGCGCCCTCTGCGGCTCTTGCTCAGGCTGCCTTTGCGCGTTCGCTTGCCGCTTCTGCTTCGCCCACCTTCCCCGACCCAGCGCAGATCAACGCAGGGAATATAATACAGGCTACACCGGGCAGAACCTCTTCTGTCCAACCTATCCGGGGTTAGACGCGCTAAACTACTCAAAGAGAAAACGGAGAGCTTCACCGAGCCAAAACAAGTTACCAGGTACAGGCATCATCACAGATCGACAGACATGCAAACCAAAGCCGAGACAACACGCATGCGTCCATGAATAGAAACCCTCACTCACAAAGGCCACAAAGGCGACCGATTGTAACAACTCGGAACCAAGTATCACGCAATTACTCGGCTCACCAAAGACACAGCATGCAAGCAGGCAGAGATGCAAAAACAAGCAGAGACAGCAGAGATTGAAACACAAGGAAGCAAAAACATCAGAGCAGCGCACGCAAGTAGTATGAACCTCTCTGTGCCCTTCTCCTCGGCCCGGATTACATGTAAGCAAACCCGAATCCAAGTAAGGCCACGATAACGTTCTGGCATGCGCAAGAGCAGTATGTGACTTCACATCGACACGAGAAGGTCCAGCCCCTGGAGTAAACACACATTTCGTATTTCCTCTCCCTCTCTCTCTCTCTCTCTCGACACGGGCGAATGCTTGCTGACGGACAAGCACGGGAAGAATAATGAATTGAATACAACTGCAGCCCCAAAAAATGCAAGCCACACCCTGAACTTGAAGCCTGAACCTACCCTTAAACTTAGACCCAACCCAACCGCCCTAGCCCTTGAACCTGAATTGAAACCTCATATATGGCCTGCAGGACCTCGTGACCTCGGAGCACTAGGCTCCGGGGAACTGAATTCCTGCGGCCGCCAGTGGCTCGCACTTCGACTCCTCCGCATGGGAGATGGGGAGTGAGAACGGGGGAGGGGCAGAGGCAGGAGGGGAAAAGGAGTCTGGGCGGAAGAGGGAATGCGAGGAAGTACAAGCGGCCCAGGGGCACGGAGGTTACGTACTGCAGCATGCTTGGAGGTTGGAGGTTTTGCTAAGTTTCAGAAACACAAGGACATAAGCTTTCCAGCAGGGGTGTCGCGGGCCACTCCCAATCCCGACTCGCACAAAAGAGAGGCCACCTAACCGAGTTCAACATCCCGGAATTTCCCAGGGGACGACGATGCCTTTCAGCGCTCGGCTTCCGTCTCACAGGGCTGAGGCTCCTTCGCTCTAAGTTTGGGGCAGTTTGAACGGTGTTTGGGGTTCTGGGATGTTCTGGCTTTAAGGTTTCGGATGTTGGGCTTTGGACCTTGGGCTTCTCGTGTTTGTGGTCTAGGGTTTGGGCTTTCCAGCTGCTCCGTTGCGCCACAGAAGGTGCCATCTACAAAATTTCGAGGCGAGACTGCCATTGTGTGAGACAAAGACTAGTGAAAGTGCCACTGGGCTGCAAGATTTTGGGTTTAGGGTTGGGAGGACAGGGCTACATGAGTCCGAGCTCCTCTTCCGACGGCTCCTGCTTCGGGCACCCCGGCCGGCCTCAGCACAGGTTGCAGCAGCGCTGTCTCACTTCCTCTTCCCTCTCCTTAGGGTGTAGGATTTGGGTTTTGGGTTTGTCTTCCTTTTCGTCTTGTTGCTTTTCTTGCTCTGTGTCATCTTGTCCTATTTTCCTTTTCTCCTCGTCTTCCGTTTTGCTCCCACTCCTCCTCCTCCTCCTCCTCCTCCTCCTCCTCCTCCTCCTCCTCCTCCTCCTCCTCCTCCTCCTCCTCCGCCTCCTCCTCCTCCTCGCCTCCGCCTCGCCTCCGCCTCATCCTCCTCCGCCTCCTCCTCCTCCTCCGCCTCCGCCTCCGCCTCCGCCTCCGCCTCCACCTCCTCCTCCGCCTCCTCCTCCTCCCCTTCCTCCTCCTCCTCCCCCTCCTCCTCCGCCTCCTCCTCCTCCTCCTCCTCCTCCTCCTCCTCCGCCTCCTCCTCCTCCTCCTCCTCCCCCTCCTGGTCACGCCTCCGGTCCTCCTCCCGGGTCCTCCTCCTGGTCCTCCTCCCTGGTCCATCCTCCTGGTCCTCCTCCCCTTCCTCCTCCTGGTCCTCCTCCTGGTCCTCCTCCTGGTCCTCCTCCTGGTCCTCCTCCTGGTCCTCCTCCTGGTCCTCCTGCTGGTCCTCCTGCTGCTGGTCCTCCTGCTGCTGGTCCTCCTGCTGCTGGTCCTCCTGCTGCTGGTCCTCCTGCTGCTGGTCCTCCTGCTGCTGGTCCTCCTGCTGCTGGTCCTCCTCCTCCTGGTCCTCCTCCTCCTGGTCCTCCTCCTCCTGGTCCTCCTCCTCCTGGTCCTCCTCCTCCTCCTGGTCCTCCTCCTCCTCCTCCTCCATCCTCCTCCCTGGTCCTCCTCCTCCTCCTGTCCCTCCTCCTCCTCCTGGTCCTCCTCCTCCTCCTGGCCTCCTCCTCCTCCTCCTGTCCTCCTCCTCCTCCTTCCTGGCCTCCTCCTCCTCCTCCTGGGCCTCCTCCTCCTCCTCCTGGTCCTCCTCCTCCTCCTCCTGTCCTCCTCCTCCCTCGCTCCTTCCTCCCCTCCTCCCATGGTCCCTACCTCCCTCCTCCTGGTCCTCCTCCTGGTCCTCCTCCTGGTCCTCCTCCTGGTCCTCCTCCTGGTCCTCCTGCTGGTCCTCCTGCTGCTGGTCCTCCTGCTGCTGGTCCTCCTGCTGCTGGTCCTCCTGCTGCTGGTCCTCCTGCTGCTGGTCCTCCTGCTGCTGGTCCTCCTGCTGCTGGTCCTCCTCCTCCTGGTCCTCCTCCTCCTGGTCCTCCTCCTCCTGGTCCTCCTCCTCCTGGTCCTCCTCCTCCTGGTCCTCCTCCTCCTGGTCCTCCTCCTGCTGGTCCTCCTCCTGCTGCTCCTCCTCCTCCTGCTCCTCCTCCTCCTGCTCCTCCTCCTCCTGCTCCTCCTCCTCCTGCTCCTCCTCCTCCTGCTCCTCCTCCTCCTGCTCCTCCTCCTCCTGCTCCTCCTCCTCCTGCTCCTCCTCCTCCTGCTCCTCCTCCTCCTGCTCCTCCTCCTCCTGCTCCTCCTCCTGCTGCTCCTGCCGCTGCTCCTGCCGCTGCTCCTGCCGCTGCTCCTGCCGCTGCTCCTGCCGCTGCTCCTGCCGCTGCTCCTGCCGCTGCTCCTCTCCTCCTGCTCCTCCTCCTCCTGCGCCTCCTCCACTCCTGCTCCTCCTCCTCCTGCCCCTCCTCCTCCTCTCCTCCTCGTCTGCTCCTCCTCCCTCCTTCCTCCTGCCTCCCCCGCTCCTCCTGCCCTGCTCCTCCTCCTCCGCTATCCTCCCCTCCTCCTCCTCCCTCCTGCGCCTCCCTCCTCCTGCTCCTCCTCTCTCCTCCTGCTCCTCCTCCTCCTGCTCCGCCTCCTCCTTGCTCCTCCTCCTCCTCCTGCTTTCCTCCTCCTCCTGCTCCTCCTCCTCCTGCCCTCCCTCCTCCTCCTCCTCCTCCTCCTCCTCCACCTCCCTCCTCCTCCTCCTCCTCCCTCCTCCTCCTCCTCCTCCTCCTCCTCCTCTCTGCTTCCTGCTCCTTCTCCTGCTCCTTCCTCCTCCTCCTCCTGCTACCTCCTCCTCCTCCTGCTCCTTCCTCCTCCTCCTCCTCCTCCTCCTCCTCCTCCTCCTCCTCCTCCTCCTCCTCCTCCTCCATTCTTCCATATTAAAGGTTGCCTTCACAATCCTCATCTGCGCTGACCAAAGCATGTGAGGCTGCAGCATCGCAGGCTTGAAGAGCTAAGATCCGCACGCCACTTCTGCTGCGCTTCCCTAGCGCGATTGAGGATGTCTCTTTATCAGAAGGTTCTGGAGCGTTGCATGACGGACTAGTGCACCGACTTGGAAAACCTCCAGAAACTTTTCTGCACTTCCTAGTGGACACGAATAATGTGTAGGGCCAGGGGCACTGTCTGGCACGTCGGGAAGTGAGGGGGGGTGGCTAAGGAATCTCGTGATGCACCTGAGCTTCCCACCTCGGCTCCTGCGTCGCCGGGCACGGCTGCGGCTGCGACTTCGGCTGCGATTTCTGCTGCGACTTCGGCTGCGACTCCTGGTGGACATGGGCAGCTTGTGGCTCAAGAAGCAGCCTGGACATATCCAGTTTCAACAAGGATGCCCAACATCCTTGCTCATTCCGTGAAGCTCCCCATGTCGTCCTGTCAGCGGGCCGAAACCTGACAGCCCCAGTCCATGCGCATGCGAATCGAATGGAGCTCGATTGAGGGCTGCACTTGGCCGCAAGCAACCTCTCGTGGCTTGCCGTTTGCGGAATCGGCTCCTCACAGCCCAAGCGAAGCCAAAAACGAGAGGGACACAGTAGAAGGACACAGTAGGCGCGTTCGCTCTCCGAGGTTTGCAGAAGGCAAAAGCATCTGGGATCCGTGCTGGCACGCCGCGCCGCACAGCCGGAGCTGGAGCGCCCCTGGCAAACCTGCAAGCACTTTAGCGAGCACCCTACAATGCCTTCCAGCCTTGTTTTATCTTTGGATCAACGCATTCAGAAACAGCCCAATCCCTACTAGTAGCAGGCCTGATCATCACACACTTGCCTTGAACATTGCGCCCATTGAGCTCCTGCGGCCAAGTCCGCTCCACAACGGCAAATCTAAACACGCTTCTGGCTGCAAGAGCTCCAGTCGACCACCCCCCAAGATCACGTCAACCATCACTTCGAACCAATGTCTCAGTCAATGATCGTAGCCTTGCTGGACTCGGGCGATGGTCAAACCCTAAACCTTGAACCTCAAACACGAAACCCACCTAAACCCATCTAAAACCCAAAAGGACACAGAGGACACAGGACGCGAAAAGAAGCTTGAAGAGGCACCTATCTCGGATGCGCTGCGGGTGCGCGTCTCAGCATGGCCTGCATAGCCTTCCGCGCGTCGTCCCGGCGGTCAAACTCCACCAGCGCAATCCGGGTGTCGCGCACCTGGCGACCGTCTACTCCAAGGCACTTGGGACAGAATTGAACGCACCAAGGGCAGCACCCCCTTCATGTGCTTGTTCTGCGTGATGTTAACATTTCGGACCTTGCGCACTGGGCCAAGTCCCCTGCAAAACTTCGGATTCTTGATGATTCTTGGATGCAGCTGAAAGCAGCTCAACCCTTCACCGCATCATCCCAAACGCTAGGAGCCGGACTCGTCCATAATGCTCAAACTGGGCCTCCAGGGCTTCATTGGTGACACCGTCCTGCGTTGCTAGTTGGATATGGCTCAAGGATGCTCAAGGCAAAGATCCCATAAAAGCTTATAGAACTCTGAGCCTGTCCTTGATGCCTTGGACGCACAGCGTGGCGTAGGGGAAGGACATCACAGCAAACGCGAGGCTCACTTCATCCTATCTAGGAATCTCTCCGGCTGCTGGCGTCTCTTATTCACTGCCTCTTCAAAGTGACAGGAACGTCATTCAAGCGGAAGTCCAATGCTCATTGCCTGATGAAAAAAAACCTCAAGATTGTTGACCGATTCCGCCTGGGATCTGACTTTGCAGCAAAATCAGATGCGCGGACGCAATGCAGGGCCATGCTGCACACGACTTATGTAGAACAAGCAATTTCTCAACTCAAGCATGTCTGACCAAGAGAAACATAATCGCCGAAAAAAACAGCGGGAAGCTGTAAGCTCAATTAATTATCTGTAGGCCATTCATTCTGTAGGTGTTTGTGGGATAGCCCGCAGTAGTGGGACCTGTCAACAGCAGGACTGCCGAAACTCGACCGCCCAAGTCTTGTGTGACCACCTAAGCTAAGCAAAACAGCTGATGGCTTTGTGCTTCCATCCACAGACGTCTTAAAAACACAAGCTGCCCAAATGAACTGTCAAAACCGTCGTTCACCACATTCAAACTATTTGTTTTTCCACACGCTTGTTTCCGCCGCCAGGAAAGTCTCGCGGGTCGAAGGCCGCAGCGGCGGAAGGCCGGGCCCAGCGCAGTCAGCCAGTGCCAAGACGGCCTCCAGAGCAGGCACCGCGCTAAAGCCGGCGGGCTGCAGTCCTGCCGCGGTCGGGCCCAAGGCAATCTCGGCCACGGCCACTTGCACCGCGACGGACAACAACCCCCACCACCGACGCGCCCAGCCGCTCGCCGCGCTGCGGCGCCCAGCAGTGGGGGCGCGGCAGCCCAAATTATTCATTGCTGTACTTCGCGCAATTGGACTCCTCGACAAGCGCAAGTGCCGGCGGCAAGTGGCCGCTGCATCGAACTCCAGGGCAAACTGATGTGCGAGGGTTCGGGCAACTAGTCGTCGAAGGAAGTCTCCCACGACGATGCCCGCGGAACACTGGGCTTTACACACGGCTGCCACAGTTTGTTTTATTTTTTCAAATGGGCAGACGTGAGACGTGTGGAGTTGCGCCGGTCATGCGGCGTAAAGAGCAGCCGCAAGGAGGCGGCATCAGCAAACTGCTCAACTCCATACACACCTGCCGCTTCACAGGGAGAAACGTGTCCGGGAACGACCGTGGGTCACGATCAGAAAATACTTGGAGCATGATTGGTTCTCACTCAACAAGGCAACTCAACAAACAACCACAAATTTTTTAAAACCACAAAAGCACAAACAAATGTTTTTTTTTGTAACAAATAGGTCAAGGTCAAGGTCAAGCCTGATGCCCGAAGGCGGCCCATTTAAGGCGCAGGCAGTGAAACAATCAAATGCGACGACTAATTGCGCGGCTCATTGCTTTGTAACGAAATGAATGAAACCATCTGTTTGTCGTAACCACCATTTTGAATCAACAGCTGCGGACTTCCAATTTCTCAATTGACGCCAACGACAATACATCATGAGTGCATCTTCCCAATTGCTAGGCTGCCTCCCAGCCTGAATCCCAATTGCTAGGCTGCCTCCCAGCCTGAACACGTCGGGGGTGCCATTCCAACACACGAATCACCAATCGATCACGTGGCAAATTTGCAATGTAAGTGGCCAATTTCCAGTAACTTGCCAATGACTGTTGCCTCCAGTTTGTTAACGAGCTATCATGGCAGGCATTCCGAACTTTGTTGTTGCAAGCATGAAGAGTTTCATGCCACGGGTCATCCCATGAAATGTTTCCAGGTGGTCCCACCACTGCACGAAGCAACCTCTTGTACTCAACATCCATCCGGTGCAGGTCGGGTTTGTGAATCGTTCTGTGTCCCGCTGCGAAACAAGCCACTGGCGAAACAACGGCATCAAAGAATTTCAATCGTTTAGACAAGGAAATGTTGCGATCACGTAAAATCCAGCCGTTTGCATAGAAGGATTTTGAAGCTGCAGCAACGTGGTGGGTGACATCTTCATGTTGTTGCGGGGATCCGCCCGCTGACAACATGCACCCAAGCCATCTGTGAGAAGCACTGCGTGGCAGAACCTGGATTTGATGACCGCTGCTTAAAACAATATGCTGAGGTGGCTGGGCTTCCGTTGTCATGATCACCGTCTTTTCGGCAATCAAAATGAGGCCAACCTCACCAAGTGCTGCAATGAGTAGATCCAGGGTGTAGTGCGCTTCTTCTTTACATTTGGTGAAAAGAAGAATATCATCAGCAAATCGCAGGTCCAGAAGTCGTCGCAACCCATCTCCCAAATCAAAACCGGCCGTCCCAACCAAGTTCTTCCATGAGCTCATTGCCCATTCCAAAACAGCACAGAACAAACGCGGACTAAGAACGCAGCCTTATCTCACGCCGGCACGAATTTTAAAAGCACGACTGCGATCCGAATCGCCGTGGACTTCGCCCCATTGTTCATGGTAAAGACATTGGAGAAGCCAAATCAAGTGACCAGAAACACCGTGATTCTGCAATGCCTTCCATAAAGCTTGCCAATCAACGCGATCGAAAGCTTTCGACAAATCCAAGCTTATTATCCAAATGGGGATGCCGCTCGCCAAGGTTTTGTCAATCAACAAATTCGCAGTGAGCAGATGTTCTTCAATCCGCCGGTGTGCCCGAAACCCATGTTGCTCTTCTGGTTGGCCTGCTTCCAGCAAATGTTCCAAGCGCCCCAACATCATATAGCAAAATGTCTTGTACAACAAACGCACATTGGCAATCGGACGAAAATCTCCCAGTACAATGGCTTTCGCCTTTTTTGCGATCATTTTGAATAACGTCTTGTGCCAAGTCGTCGGGCAGGAACCTGTTTCCAGCACATGGTTGAACAGTCGAAGTAGCTGTTGCAACAATTCGTCAGGCGCATACTTCATTAATTCGGCAACAAGTCCAAATTCATCGCTACTTTTGTTCATTTTCAATGAATTGATAGCATGGTCCAGCTCCACGCGTGTCCATTTCGGTTCTGTTTTCTCAAGAGGTTCGACCGGAGGGATTGCGTGACCAGAAAATAACGATTCAAGCATGCACGCAAAATCTTCCACAGGAGGCTGTATCGCACGATTGCACGCAGAAGTGCGCCCTGAAAGACTCCGCAGTAGCTTCCATGTTGTTGGATTTTGTAAAGCAGATCCAACCCTGGAGGACTTCCATTGGCGGACTTCTCGACGGTGAAGCTTGCGAATCTGGAAGGAAAGTTGCTTGCGAACCAAACTGTCGTCGGATGGATGATGCTTGGACATGTTGTCGAGCTGCTGACAGAATGAAGGTTCAGATCGATTTCTTAATTGCGCCGATGCAGATACAAGTTTTGAAAACTCATTGTGATTACAAGATTGCGGTTGGTTTGGATCATCGTTGCGTTCATTGTTGGATTCGATTGCGTGGGACAAAATCTCGCCGACCCCAGAGGTTCGCCATGCATGGATGGAAGCCACGTCGAGGACACGCTGATCTTTACAAAAATGCACTGATTACGTCGTGTCACGACCGTATGACGTTAGACGATGTGGAAATTGCACTACTCAAAGCTGGCATTGCGCATGGCGCGCCGAAGCGACCACAAAAGAAGTTTCAGCCATCCGAGGCTTTGCGGGCGCTTTCTTCGCAAAGGCGTTCGCTGCGGGAGTGGGACAGACACGGTTCATGACTTGAAAATTGTGGCGCAATATCCAACGCGCGAGCATCCATCCACGAGCATTCCGATCGCCTGACCCAAAAGAACCTAAATGGTCAACATCATCATGTGACAACGGGCGTCCCAAACAAGCGTTGAAATCTCCACCAAGAAGCGGGGTGGCCCCTAACCTGCGATCATTCTCGAGAAGTAAATCAATGATATCGTAGAGCTCTTCTACGGCGTCATCAGAATCCCATGCAGTAGGAAAGTAAACCGAGTAAATATGCAATCGCTTCATGTTCCACGTGCAACGCAAGCAACAAACTCGGTCAGAGCATGCGTGAAAAGAAACCTCTTGCACGTTTTGTAAGAATTGCTTGTGAAGGCAGATTCCTACTCCTCTGCTGTTGGCTCCGCAGCTACTCATGAAAATCTTGTTGCCATGTGGGGTTTGCAATGTTTCTTCAAAATCTCGCCGCCATGTTTCGGTGATGCAGCCAATCTCAAAGTCAAGTGCATCAAGCTCACACACGAAGTCGTCAAAACGATGTTGCTGTCGAATACTTTGCAAGTTTTTTGAAAACACATGCAGATCCACGAATTCCTGTTCCGCCTTCGCGTTGAATCCAACATGCTTACAAGACAACTGATGTCTTTGATGTTGTACCAACTTGCGACGTGTATCATCCTACTCGAAGTCGGCGACGAAATCGTCGACGGCCATCTGCACTTGCGAACTGACAGGGCAATCCCCGGAAGCCCACTGCACGATGCCGTCTTCCTCAACATGGGCTGCATGGACCAATTTCTGCCCAACTCTGATCGAGACCTTGTAGGTTTTGTAGTTCACCATTACCGCTCTCGGGGCAATGCCATCCAACTCGATGGCAAATTTCTTGATTTTGCTTGCAACCTTGCTGCGTCGACGTTCACCTGCAGGCTTGTTTACGGACGCCCAAAGCTTGTGCCGCTGCATGTTGGCATTGCGCTTTTGCATTCGCACAAACTTTTGCATTTTCTCCACGTTAGTAAACTGAGCAAATGCAACGACTGGATACGGGCTTCGTGTAAACATCGGACAAACCATCAATATCTGCGAGCGCGTCCTTAATGAGTGTTTCGGCTTCACCTGCTTCCTTCTCACCGAAACCACCAATGACTGCGATTGAATTGTCCGACTCGTTCATGTCCGGAGATGTCTGTCGGGCGTTCTCCAACCGAGCCACTTTTTCTTCAAGCTGAACACGGGCCGTCCGCTCAGCAATCAATTCCGAATGCATTTTGGAAAGGGAAGCGTCAAATCGCATTGACCTTTCCAACTCATGCAGCTCCTCTCGCATCATGGTTCGAAGTGTTTGCATGGTTGCGGCACTCATCTCCACCTGGGAACTTGCCGTGTGGATCGGGACTTGTGGTTGCATCATCATTGCCAACGGTCCAACTGTGACCGCCTCCGAAAGGTTTGTGTTTGGAACGATTCTGAGCTTCCCGATCAGGTGTACCCTCTGGAGCTGCTCGCTTGGCAGCTGCCGGCATTTCGGCATCTTTGAAACGCAAAAACTCCTTGTCGAAGTCAGCACTCAAATCCTGCCACTGGGCACCCAGAGCTACAGCGCTGCCCACAGTTTCGGCAGCTTTGTACTTCTCATAACGCTCCCATGCTTTCGAACCAGGCTTCTTGGGGTTTTCACATTTGAAAGAGATCGCAGTTTCATTTGTCTTTAGCAGCCGTGTCTGTTCCTCAGACAGCGGCATGACTGAAGAGGAAGTAGCTATGGCGGGGGGCCCACCTACTTTGATTCGCTTGACCCTTGAGGTACTTGAGCCATGCGAGCCTTGGTAACAAATAAACACCGAATCATCCGAATGAAGGAACCACGCATGCTACATTGGAAACACGCGCAAGAGGTATGTACAATCAGCAACACTCAGCCGGCAGCGGTCATATCTCATATCTCACATGCATCAGCTGCCATGGGGATATCAGCAACAACCTCAATGATTTTTCTTAACAAGACGTGCAGAGACAATGCATGTCGTGAATTGTCCTCAAGCACGGCATGTGCGAGGGAGTCAACACCACAAGCACAAAAACGGCAGGGAGCGTTGGCCCAAGAAGCACTTGGCGGGCGTATAGCTGGAAAGCAGAACGGACAGTGCGGAGCCAAGACTTCAACACATCCCAACAGGATACCGGAAACACGCGGTTGCGGGATTCTTGCATTGCATAACTCATCCAAGACGGCACCAATCTACAAGTGAGACTGGCAGACTGCAAATTCAATGATCTGCGCAGCAAAACCATGCGCCGGTAAGCAAAGCACGCGTGCACATAGACCTGCAGCCTGGGAGGGCCGCATGGTGTCAGCATCCTGCCAACCGAGCTGACCCTGAACAGCAACGCACGGGCTAGCATTCGGCCAAGCCAACAAACGTCGACCCCACTTATTGAGGCGAGTTTGAAGGTGTCGGATTTGCGAACCTTGCGGGACACACTCAAACCCGAAACAAGCCGACGGTCGCACATGCGATTGGAAAATGCGTTCCACGAAATGGAAACCATGAGCTTGGTCCATGAAACGCATGCGGCCAGCTTGCGGTCACCGCACCCTAGAAACTGGTTGATGTGTTGCGTCCAAACCAACCATTCATCCCCCCCCCCCCCTTCCTTTATCCGCCCGCAGTCAGGTGTCCCGGCGTCGGCGCACGCAGGGATGCCCTCACAGCCTGCTGGCGGCAAGTGGCCTGCCAGAAGCTCCCCGAGCGGAACCTCGTGGCCGTCAGTCGGGTCACGAGGCCCCACGATGGGCAGCTCGAGAAGCGAGCAGGCGTGCGCGCGCAGGGCGGCGAAAGATGCCAGCGCCGTCCAGCGCCGGCATCAGCGCTTGCCTCGCCCCTGCTGCACACCACGGCGCCCTCGAGCGTGGGACGGCTGATGCGTCCGCCGACCTCAACTCCGACCACAACCAGTCCGCGGCGCCGTGCCTGCTGGAATTCCGGGTAGGTCCGGTGTTTGCGGTCGACTGCTTGGTTCAGCGCGAGGCCTGGCTCATGGTCGGCCCGCGGACGCGGCTGGCCATCACGGCGCATGGGGCTAACGATCGTCGCATCAACGGCGATCTGCGCACCCTGCCAAATGGGGAGGCCGTTGGCCACCACCTCGATCCGGCGCCCGTCGGCCGCAGGCACATCCAGGTTGAGGTCACGCAGGGCGACATGGACGGCGACTCGGGCGCCTGCTTCCCTACAGATACGAGGGGGCCTGCTCTCCTGGCCAGCACACCAACTTGCGCGCATGCGGAGCGGTGGTCCCGTAGACGTCCAAGCCTCCACCACAAGAGCAGCGCCGCGGGGCAAGCGGGAGCGGTAACCGAAGTCTGCGGAGCAGCATGACGCGGTACTCCTCGTCCGGCACCCTGGTATCGGAGGTTGTGGGGCCTGCCTGAGAAAGCAGCAGCGCCCGAGACGTTGGGTCCAGTTCGGAGAAAAGCGTTTTGAGCACGCGCTTGTCAGTGGCAGTGGTGGCCGCGTGTTGCCAGCCCGGTCTTCCGAATCCGCCAGGGTCATGGTGCGCGCGTCGGCACGCTGTTTCTGGGCTCGTCGCAAAAGCAAGTTGAGCGTTTGTTTTTTTTCATTGTGTGGGGTGTTGTAATGGCATGGGTATCCTACGCGGGCCTACGCGTCAGCTCATGTTTAGTAGGCGCGCGGCCTACGCGCGGAGTATGTTGTTGACGTGTGCCTACGCGGACCTACGCGGCAAGCATAGACAACCTACGCGGACCTACGCGCCCATGCTGCATAGACTTGCCTACGCGGACCCTACGCAAACCTACGCCCTGCAGGCAACATGCTACGCGGCCGACTTTCAATGATCGCGTCTCTACGTAGCCTTGCTCCTAGAAAAAAAACGCTGCTCAATTGGCCCAGGTGGGCGCGGGTAAACCGAGCGTGCGCAGCTGGCGCGCCGCGTGGTCGGCCTCGCGCGTGCTGGGGGGTGTGCCGGGCGCGCCGGGGCTAGCAGCGGGCGAACCAGGTCAGCGAGCACGCCTGGGTGGTGCTCGCCCAGCGTGCAAAGGGTGTCCGCCCACGAGCCCCAGTCTCCGCAGACCCGAGTCCCAGTCCGCCCATGCTGAGGGGGAGCCGTGCTCGACGGGCGCTAAGGTCGGGGAGGGGCATTTCACCATCCCCCCGGCCAGCCTCGCGAGGCAGCGCAGGACGGCGGCATCATGCTTGGCGGCGAAGTCTGCCGTGTCGGAGGGCGGCACGGTCCGTACCAAGTAGGTGCATCGAGGCGCTGCACAGTACAGCAGCAACAGCCACGCTGACTGCAGGTGGGGCACGTGCAGGAGTTGCTGGAGCAGGCGGTCCTGCTCGCGCAAACGCTGCGTGAGTTTTACGGTGACGAACGCCCGGCTTCCGACAGGGCTTCCCAAGACCACCACGCCCTGCTGGGCCTCTGCGAGCGCCCAACTTCCGGTCCAACAGGGGTTGGCTGGGTCCTCGGAGGGGAGCTGGGCGAGCAGCCCTGGTGGTTCTTCACCTGCGGAATTCCACGCACGTGTGTGGCCCAGACGCACCTGGATGTTCGCGTAGCGTGCGACGGCTTCCCGAACGTGGCCGAACTGGCTCGCGGTGTGGTCGGGGGAACCCGTCACGTAGATGTCGTCAAGGAAGGCATACAACGTGTCCGACGGGTGGAGTCGGGCACGGACCTCCAGCAACGCTTTGTGCTGGCCCAAGGCGAACAGGCAAGGCATCAACGGATCACCTTGCTCTCCGCCTTCCCCTTGCCGCACTTCGTAAGCCCGGCCCTGCTCGTCATAAAAGACGTAAACACTGGAGGAGCCGTTCAAAAGTGCCACGTACGGAAGAAGGCCTGCCAGCTCGGGACGGTCTGCAAGCGCCACCACCATGCGGCCTAGCCGTATTGCCGGGATGATCGTGTCCGGCACCTGGGCCGAGGCCAGTTTGCCTGCCGCGGCTACCAGGAGCTGGGCGCATTCCTCATCATCTAGGAGCACTCGCAAGTGTCCCCCAGTGCACCCTGATGGTCCGGGGGCCGCTCCCTTTCGAGCCCGTCGGACGTTGGCGATCAAGCGGTCGGGACAAAGCTCAACCGGCGCGTCCTTCGCCCGGCGCGCGAAAAAGCGACGAATGCTTCGCTCTGTGATTGGCTGGGTGCGAGTGGCAAACGAAGATTGGCACAGCACTATGAATCGGATGAAACACAAACTGACTGCAGCGTTACACATACACCCTGTGGACACCTGGTCTCGCCAGCTTGCACGACGTCAGTACAACTTCGCTTTCCAAATGTTGCGAATTCCCAAGTGGGCCGCGGCTGTTGTCAAATGGTGTCCAGAAAGCAACTGGCAAGCAAATTTTGCTTTACAACTACATCGTCGACCCGGTCGCCCGCTAACGAAGTGGGATGATCGACTCCGCAGTTTTGCAGCCTGTAATTTTCCAGCAGTGAATACGTGGACTGATATTGCTGAAACAGCAAATTGGCCGGCCGCTGCAAGCCAGTACGTACAAAGCTTTGCGAATGTATGGACCGAATCGTGCCAACACTCAAGCACGCCCCCATTCCCCATGTCCTTATAGGACCGTGGTCCACTAGCCGTCGCTCGCATCTGCGGGCGTCGCGGCATCACGAATGGCCTCGAGACCTACACGAAAGGCGTTTCGCAGAAGGCCTCGGAGCTGGCGGGGTGGGGACTGGAAAGTGCGCAGCCACTGACGCAGCACGCCCACAAGATTAACAGGGGTGAGGACGCCCAAGTGCCCGCATAAGGAGACTGCAGACGGAGCGGGGGACGGCATGGGGGGCGGGCCTGTCCGCTCCTCGTCCTCCTCGTCTTGAGCCTCGCGAGCCGCTGCGCCCCGGCCACGTTGTCCTCCGCCTCGGTTCCCTCGCCCCCTGCCTCGCCGGCCCCGCCGCCCGCGGGCGTCAGCAACGTTTGCGACGTTGGCCGCGGCTCGGGCGACGACCTCATCCAGGTCTGCGTCATCGCCATCTGGCCTCTCCGCCACGCACCTTCTGAACCCCGCACGCAGGTCATCCGCAAGGCCCGGGCTACAGGGGCGACCGCCGGCCCACCATACACTTGGAGTAAGGCGGACTGGACGGCCGCAGCGATGTAGCCAGAAGCATCTGTGCACAGAAGAAGGGCAGTGCCAGTGGCAGCGGGGCATCGGGCAGCGCTTCAAGCTGGGCAAGCGCGGCCTGCGCGTCAGGGGCGATGGGATCGTGCGGGAAGTCCGTGGCGGCCACGGCACACACGGCCTGTAAGATTTCAGCCGGTGTTTTAGGGTCGGACGCCCGCAGGGCGCCCACCAGCTGACTCCACCGCGGGTCCGCGCCCGGAAACGCATGCCACAGATCCACAGCGCCGTCATCCAGGGACACGGCGGAAGCATCGGCACTTCTCTGGGAGGGCCCGCCTTTTGCCAAGGGGGCGCTGACACCTCCGTCGGCGTGAACCCCGGCGTCGCCTCCCCGGGCAACGTCGGGGCCACTTCACCGGTGCATGCGAAAGGTTCAGCGTCCCGGGGCGAGGCGAACGGTCAATTAGCACTGAGGGTGTCGGAAAAGTGTTTCGGCGTCGCTGGCGGCGCGATCGGCCGGCAATGCCGGCGGGAGAAGCCGCATCTGACCCAACGCGTGCAAGGTTCGTTCGCGGCGGCCGGCGACGTCGCATGCTTGCGGCGGGCCGGGATTGTCAGCCTCACCCACGCGCTGGCCGAGATACGGAAGAGTCGTGTGGGTGACGCGGGGGGCGGTGTCTGCATTGGGCGCGCGCGGGCTGCGGTGCGTCCAACGCGTGTGGTGGTCCGTGCAAGACTTGCACCAAAATAGCCATGGGACCATTCCCCTGGCAGAAGCTGCGGGGCGCACGGCATTGCGAGACTCCGTGCGGCACGGTCCGTTTGAAGGGCCGCCCCGAAGCCCCCCCACGACACGCGTCAATTTTTGGCGGCCTGCTTGCGAGGTCGCATGCGCGAGGATTGTGACGGGGGCGGCAGGGTGGGGAGATTGGGCGCGTGCGGCGCTGCGGCCTCGTGTAGCAGGCGGCAGAGCAATGCCGTGGGCGTTCGCCCGGCCGCTGCAGCCAGCGCTGTGAGTTCCGCCTCCCTCCCTCGGCCGCGCAAGTCAGCAGCTCCCGTGCCCAGGCAGGGGTCGGCACGGCGCAACCCCACGGCTGCCGCCATCAAGGCCCCAAATAGCACACCTGCACACAGCCAGCCCCAGCAGTGCGCACAAGGCCCCCATCCGTGCGGGAAGCAAAGCGGCGGCACGCCTGTAGCACAGGTTAGAACTGCGTGTGTCGCCGCTTCCCGGCATGTCGGTGGGAGCTGCATTGCCGTGGGGACAGATTGCAGGACTTGTCGGGCAAAAACTTGGCGGCTTCGAGGACTGCGGGCCATCCCCCCGCGACCATAGCGAACGCGAGCTTCGGCGAGGCGGACGGGCTTGACGAAAAACTTTTGAGCCAAAAAAACCCCTAGGTAGGTGTAGGTACTGACTCTTGGGAGGACATGTTCACCGATATGGAAGTTTTTTTTATGGAAGTTGAACCGGGTGAAGGGGACAGTTCTTAGAGGATTTAGAAGGGTTTAGAAAGGTTTGGACGGGTTTCAAAGGGTTTAGACTGGTTTATTTAGAAGGGCTTTCAAGGGTTTAGACGGATTCTTTGGAAGGGTGAAAGAGCTTTGAGTCTAACGGCTTTAGGAAGGTTTAAAAGGGCTTGGAAGGGCTGAAAAAAGCTTAGAAGTGTTTTTAGAGGTTGTTTTAAAAGGGTTTTTGAGAAAGGTTGCAGAGTTTAGAAGGGTTTAGAAGGGTTTATCGAAGGTTTAGAAGGGTTTAGAAAGGGGTTCGAAAGAGTCTTTAAAGGTTTACAAGGGTTTAGAAGGTTTATGTAAAGCGCTGCACAGAGGTTTCAAAGGGTTTAGAAGGGTTTTTCGAGGGTTTTGTGGGGCGTACAAGGGTTTAGAAGGGTTTAGAAGGCTGTAAAGGATGTTAAAACTGTTTAGAAGGGTTTAGCAGAGTTTGGAAGGGATTAGAAGGGTTTTCATGTGTTTTGGAAGGGTTTAGAAGGATTTACAAGGATTCACAAGGGTTTGGAAGGGTTTAGAAGCGTTTTGAAGGTTACGCTGGCGAACCCTAAATCGAAGTCTTGAATTGTGGATGACATTTTGAAATTTTCGGAATTTTTTGGGAGGGAGGAACTAGGGAGGCCACAAAACGCAGCAAGAGGCCCCATGGCCCTAACTTTCAATTCGGGTTTGATTTTTTCTTGGAGCCCCGGACCCCTCCAAATAAGGTCAAGCCCAAGGGTTTCGGGGGATCTGGAGTTCAAATCGGGTTTGGGAATCTGAGATTGGGTGATCTGCGGTGGGTTTGGTAGGGAATTCAAATCGGATTTGGGCGTGCCAAATGGAGGTTTCAGAAATAAGGCGGCGAGCCAACTCCCAAATTTCTCGATTGGGGGCATTGGGCGCAGCTGGCGAACCCTAAACCCTAAGCCCGAAACCCCTAAACCTTAAACCCTATGCTCAGCCTCCTGTAGGCAGGCCAAATAATACTTTATTCACTGGCACGTACATTATAAACTTGTGCATGAATTAAATGCGTGAATGATGAAACGGAACGAACTCACTTCCATCGCGCGATGCTAGAAGTGAGTTCTCGTGTACACGGTTAATGACTTTGTTCGTTCATGTTTCGTTCGCTCGTTTTGCAAGTAAAAGCAATCGTTCACTTCCCGGCAACATTATTAAAGGTGTGAACGCAGTGAGCACAGTGAATAAGAGAATGAAGTGAATTTACGAACACATCAACCCAATGAACAGGCCAGCAATGATACGAATATGGGCCCGTTCATATTGTATCATCTGGCTGGTGCTGTTGGGCGGTCTTGTTCGCACCTTAAAAAGCCTTGTAATGTTCATTCATGCGGCTTTACCAGGAGCTAGACCGCTATCATCCCATTCTTGTTTCGGTTTCGTTCACGCACTTATAATAATTATACTCGCGCATTCATTCCTTTCATTTGCAATATGAAAACTACTAGTGCGTGCACTCTCTACACATTTATCATACTAACACCGCGGCAGAATTGAACAAAATAGAAAGAGCCGCGGGTAAAAAGAACTAAATAAAGGGCGCACAAATGAGTCTTTTTACGACCTCGTTGAGGGCAAGGCGGAGGACTTCCGCCGTGTATCCGCGGCTCCGCGGTTGTGGTAAGGATTGCAGCGTTGCCTCCAGGAGATCACCTGAGAGTGGGCGGTAGGGCTGAGGAGGCCGTCGCGTGGGATCTGTGAGTTGGCCCAGTGTGGCATCGGTAGGCGGTGCGACGGGCAGTACCTTCATAAGTGTCCTCACATGGTTTAAAGCAGCGGAAAGAAAAGCAAATGGATTCGAGCCTCAATGGCTCAGCCGAGGCTCCACACTTACAACTGTGTTTAGCCCCTACCCAACCAACCATGCAGTAAACACAGGAACACTTCGGACCAGACCTGTCGGTCCAAGGCCGGGAGCACATGAGTGATGTCACGGACAGAGCCTATCTGTCACTACGAAAGCCATGCTGGCAAAGAGTGTTTGCGGGCGATAGTTGAGCTGAGCGCGGATTCGGCGTCGCCTGGTTGTTAGCGTGCAGGCCGGCAGGGTTCCTGAACTGTTCATGTGCCCGGCGACAATGCGGGTGCCATGGGTGCCAGTGCGGGCATCTGCCGGCGTGGACCGCGAGTAAGGTTCCACCCCTAGACCCCTGAGGATGATCTTGTGGTCGTTGCCGCTCCAGCTGTGGACGTCACATTGGTGTCCGTGCTCGACACTGCCAGCCGCACCTGTCCCGGATGAACACACCCTTGAAGAGCCGCAAAACAGCCTGATTTGTGAAGCCCAGACCCACACCCACTGAGCCGCGTGCCATACTCATCAGAAACTGCCGCGCCCGCGTGCCTCGTTCCCTAAAGCGTCTCGCCTGAGTTCGCCTTCTGCTGTTTTGTACAAGCAAAGTGCCGATCGCGACAAAACAGGGCGGCTTGTCGCGGCACAGTTCCGGGCGTTGGAGTTTGGTGGGATTTCAACCCACGTCGCCCCCTCGGCGTGTAGCAAAAGGAGAGCGGATGAGTGGAACGTACCGCATCGGCTGTGAGGAGAGGAGGGAAGGCCCTGCATATGCAAATGTCGCTGCCAGGCTACCAGCCGTACCAAGCTCCATTGCTTCCGACTGCTTTTGCACCCCAGGTCGGCAAAGTGATAGCTCATTCCGTGCTCGAATGGGACAGAGGCATGTTGGGATGTTCGAGAGACGAAAGCAAGAATGAGAGATCTTCAACTTCCCACCGGTCTGAAAGACAGGCTTTGAACATGCTCGATAATTGGACAGCAAACAAAGCAACTTTCCTTGAGACCTCTATGGAAGTGTGCAAAACGCGCACTTTTTTCCATGCACAGCCCTTTCGCAGTGCCGGAAACCTGCTCTTGGCCAATGTTTGCCTCGCCTGTGAATCTGAGCTATGACATAGGAATGACCCAACTTTGCGGCAAACATTTTCCTGAATCTACGTACAACCTACACAGTCACTCCAGCAGCATTGCCAATAATGCAAGGGGTTCTTTGGCATGACCCGAGGTCCACCTGTAGCACTTGGAACCATGGGCATTGGCCCCACTGTTCACACACCCAGCTGCTGAAGAAAGAAGGCTGGCTTTTCGCGGCACGCCTTCAAATCTCTCAAGTCCCTGACATGACCTGCGATGAGCCGGATAGCTGCTGCACAACCAAAATGCATGACCTTGCTGGATGATGCTGCATGTACAAAGTGCCTACATACATACCTGCCTACATGCATACTCACATGCATTACATGCATTACATGCATTACATGCAGTACATGCATTACATGCATTACATGCATTACATGCATTACATGCATTACATGCATGACATGCATTACATGAATTACATACATTACATGCATTACATGCATACATGCATTACATGCGCACATGCAGTACAGACTGACATACTGACATGCAAACATGCAAACATGCAAACATGCATTACGTACTGACATGCTGACATGCTGACATGCTGACAGGCTGACAGGCTGCCGTTTTATGACATTACATGACATTACATGACGCTATATTTCACAACATTGCACTACATTGCATTACATTGCGGCACATTGCGTATGCTTATATTGCTTCCAAGCATACACACTTGCACACATTGACATGCATTGCAATACAGTGCTCTACAACGATGCTCGACCCTACTCTGTTACAATGGATATCGAATGTCCAAAATTGTATAAAATAACATTGCAAGGCACACACCCCATCCCACAAGTCGGCGGCCACTAAAGAAACCGCTCGAAGACGGGTTGTGGCATCTATGATCTTCATCCATGCCAGGGTGCCTAACGCGGGCTACCTGCTGCTCACTTGTGGAGACCTCATCCCAGCAGCGGATGTAAACTGTAGTGAGGTAGTGGTCTGGCAACATCCTGGACCCCTGCTCAGCAGCGGACAACCGAAAATCAGCCTTGTGCCTTGGCTGGCCTACTTCCCTTGCTGACGAAAGGTCTTTGCATGCTCTACGCTCTCTTTCAACATTGGCCCACAAGACCTTGCCGGCTCAGCATGACATCAACCTCTCTCCCCTCGACCCTGCCACCCTGGCTGGGGTGTGCCATGTATGATGGATGAGTGGTTTCGGAAGAATGCTGAGCAAAAGAGGACGAAAGCCACAGAAACAGTGTCAAGACAGCGACGTGCAGCGCAGCTGCGATTCATGCTCTTCTCGGCAGACCACATTCTGGGCTCTCCAAGACCAAGCCAAGACGCTTGTTTATCCGTTGCCTCGATGTGACTCTTCATCGAGATACTGGGAGATTTGGGCCTTGAATCCACAGCCACGAGCCCAAAAATGCGGGCAACACTTAAACACTTTGGACTTAGGACTCTGAGGTGCGAGCGCAGGTTTGGATCTGCGCTTGTCGCTGCCTTTCACCCAGAGATGCAAAGTGTGGCGCGATGCCCTCAGTGCCCTCCAACCGTCCAACGAGTGACCCTTATGACTCTATGACTTTATGGTGCTCAATTGACAAGTGCTCTGCGCACCCTCGTTCCCAGGGGCCCAGGAAGCAGCGGTTAATCATCGGCACCGTCCTGAGGCAGCTGCACGAGTGGACCGGCGCGTTCCCCTTTTGCACTGAACTGCAAGGCCACTGCGTTCTCTGAGTGCCCCGCGCGCTGGCCCTGAATAGTGGTGGCCAGCCCTTGTCCTAACAGTCTTAAGGCTTGATAGAGCTTAACAGCTTAACGTTTAGAAGGAGTTGAAAGGATGGCAGCCAAGGCCAAGGCCTTCAAGTCCCGCTCGTAGCTCCAGTACCAGACCTGTGGCGCGTGGAACTGAAACTGACTTTCAAGCCTCCGAACTTGGCCCCGTGCTGGCTTTCCAGGCTCTTGCTGGGCCGAAGCCTGGCAGGCGGTGTGATTGTCCTGTCTTCGTTCTTCTGCACTTGTGATCCAGGCCGTACAATCAATGCACGTTTTGGTTTAAGTTTAAGCTGCCCAAGGTCGATTATAAGTTCTGCTCTGGTGCCCTACTAGACTCCGCAGATTCCGTGGAACCAGGGCTCTCTCATTGATACAAAGCTCCTTGGGAACAGCGCTACAATGCCAAAGAAGCTGCTCTCCAAAACTTAGCCAGAAGCACCTGCTGCAGGCGATTCTGAACCTCAAGGTTGGCTTAGCAGAAAACAAGATTCTTGTGTGACTCTCCACATATTCTACCTTGCGGGGCTGCTCGTGGCAGAGGAAGAAGTCTTTGTTGGCAGCAGGCTCAGGCACACGCCCTCAGGATGAAGGCGTTCTTCTCTGTGAGGGACTTCTCCTCACCTCGCACCAACACCGTCAGGTGCTCCACATCAGCATGTCGCGCTGTGTGGCTCTCGTGCTTGCAGCTTGCACATCGCAATCCGAATGCTTTGCGCGGACACCCCTTCCGAATGAAGGTCTTGCGGGCCATGTGGTTATGAAACGCGCACGAAATTATACAGTGGCCAAACGCAATAAATTCGTGGGTGCGATATAGATGGCTGGCTTGGGGGTACCCGAAAAAAGTCAAAAACCAGCCATGTCTCAACCCTTTGTCAAACTCTTCTGTACAAGCTGTAAAGCCATCTAACGCATTTAAACGTTTCCTATATTCCTCTCTTCAAGGATGTTAACGTCCAGACAAGTCTCGACTTCAAGTATACAGGGTTTCAGCTTTGGAGTGTCAGACAACATCGCGGAAGTGCGTACTACATGAAATGATCGCGTCAGGTCCTTGACTTGCGGATATTCGAGCAGGAATGGATCCTACACCGACACACACCAGTGTCGTTGGTTTTCCTAACACCGGCCTTCGCCAGATAACTTGTACTCAGGCCTCCTTCAGAGAACCCCATGCAGTATCATTGGAGCTCTGGCCCGCAGAAATCGAAGAGTATCCATGGAGTGCCCCAGATAATGCCACATCGCACCTAGTGCCGGTCTGCTCAATTCACAAAGCGCCATAGCGGTCGAGACTAAGAGGAAACACATCGGAGACGCATGGGAGAGTCATGGGAGACGAAGTAAAAGCAACTTTCAGAGTAGTGCCGTGGGAAAGCCACATACACGTCACTTTTTTCTCCAAACACACTCCCAAGCTGGGGAAATAACGTGAACACCCCAGACGAGCGAATCCAGGGCCTGCTCACTTTGCAAAGGGAGAGAAATGGGAGAACGCATCCAGCGTCGAGCCTGAAGGGAGACAAATGGGACACAACTGTTTAGAGCAGCGCTCTGACAAATCCAAAAGAGCGGCAGCGAAACAAATCCAGATCAGCGTCACCGAAACCCTGTATTCAGAACCTCCAGCTAGCGCTGCTTGGGGAACAAATGGGAGACAAATGGGAGACAAATGGGAGACAAGAGTCCCAGACAGGCGTCACCGCATCCGGCGCCCAAACCGCTGGGAGACAAATGGGAAGCCATCTTTAAGAGTGGCGCCGTAAGAAGTCCGAATGTGCATAACAGAAATCCTCTTGTAGCAATAAAGAACCCCAACAACCCAGAGCTCAAAGCTGTTTCGAAACTAAGGGAGAACAATCGAAGACAAATGGGAGGCAACAGTCCCAGACCGGCGTCGTAACGTCCGAGGTTTGGTCACCTTACAAAGCGAAACAAATGGGAGACCAATCCCATACGGGGCGTCAACGGACGTCACGGGATCCAAGGCCTGCCCATGCCTGCCCACTTTACTTCTAAGCAGATTAAGAGCCGCCCACTCAACCTGTTTGGGGAACTAGCATGATCAAAGGTCAATGCAAGGTACCCCCGGCACGTTTCTAAACAAGCCTTAACACAACCGGGCCGTCGCCTTAAGATGGCCAACGTGGGGCCAGACGAGGAAAAAAAAAGATCATTAATCAACAGGAAAGCATAACTTCTGAAAAAAACACACGCAATCCTCACCAAAACATGGCCCTCCATAAAAATAACAAAAATCCGGCCTTCCGGCAGATTGTCATCCTTGTTCCAGCATGCACTAGGTTCCGGAATGTCCTTCACACACCAGAGTACGGCTCTGGCATACTTCAGATGCTGCTCTTTGAAGCGCAAGAAGCTTCGCAGGTAACCACAGAAGTACCCTCAAGCACCCTCAAGTGCCTGAGCAACTGCCTTGACATAGCTGGTGTCCGGCTCGAACGTCTCCTTTGCGCTCAGAGTCTCGCACTTGCACTTTGCACCTCTTTCTTTCGCAAACGCCTTGTGAGTGAAACCACCACAACATCAGCCGAAGGTCCTCATAGCCCGGGCACTGCAAGTACCACAGGACTCGGCGGGCAGCATCTTCGTAAGCCTCCTGCCAAGCTGAGTTTCCTTTCATGCAGCTCACCCAAACAACTTCAAAGGCAGCCGGCTTTTGCATGGACAGACTCTATGCCACTCGCCTCCTGTGTGGGGTGCCTTTTGCTGGGAAACGTGTGCGGCACCTTGGTCAAATTAGCGAAACAAAGGGAAGGGTAGCAAAAAGTTCAAAACACGCGTAGTGCTGCAGCATGTTTGCTTCCATACCGCCAGGATTGCTGTGTGAGAGAAGACGTCTCCCATGCGCTTGTTGCGCCGTGTAGCTTGCGCATTGGTGATTTGAAGCGTTGCCACAAGTCTTGCACAGCTTTGCCCATGAGCGCCACGCGTCCAAAAGACGTACTTCGGCGAAAGCCTGACAGAGTCCATCCTCCCACCTCACATCGAGAGTGTAGCCCATGAGCGTTCACGGTGCATCCTGCAGTGCACTCGAGTGTGTTCCCTACATCGGGCTTTGGATGCCCTGAAAGCACGATGTGACACCACTGTCGCCCCTGTTGTGATTGGCTTCGGGCCGGTGACTCCAGCCCACTGTGGAAGGACCGTCCCAGGACAGCCTGCAGTGCAGCTTTTGGCATCGCTTACCACGGTTATGGTGCTGCCAAACAGTAACATGCAAGGGCAGCAGGATCACTCGTGGATCGACAGCGATTAAGCAGCACAGCAATGTACAGCATCTCCGGGCAGGGTTCCCCCTCATAACATCTCTCTGAACTTCTCCTCTTGGTGCCTCTGGCAGAACTTTTCCAGAAGCTCAGCCTGCAAAGAAGTGGGAGAGCCATTGGAGAGCCCCTGCTATCTGCGTGCGCCATCTGCGTGCGCCATCTGCGTGCGCCATCTGCGTCCGCCATCTGAATGAGAGCTCAAACATGACACATGGGATCAGAGCGACACCGAGGAGACTCCTGTCATCTGCTTCGTGAATGATTACTTCGAACTACTGCCTACTCGTAGAAGCTAAGGAGACTACTTGGCAGAAGCGGGCTTTCGCGAGCGGCTGGCTGCCAATCCAGATGCCCCTCTGCTACCGGTTCAGGGGGTAGAGGATTTCGGGTCCAGCTGGCGAGCGTCAGGAACATCAGGCCGCCGTAAGAGCACCCCAATCGGCGAGCATCAGCAGCATCAAGCCGACCCCGTTAGCAAGACCACGCAAAGACTCAAAAAAGGGCCCGCGAGGCCCAGCCGGAACAGCCAAAATTTGCCCATCCTGCCCCGACCAGACCCCCCAAGGCTTCGCCCAGCCCTTGCGGGGTTGAAGGACACTCCCTAAAGCGGAGCTTTCGTGATTGAACCCATCACGTCACGTTGACAGTTCAGTGACTTCAGCGGGGCGCTGTCTTCGTCACTCTGCCAAGGTCTCCGAGCCTCACTTCGAGCTTCTGGCAGGGGCTCGTGATCTCGAGTTCCTGGCAATTCCAGCGACCGGCTATGACCAGCTATGACCAGCTATGACCAGCTATGACCAGCTATGACCGGCTGTGACTGTGACCGGCTCACACTTATGTGATACACATGCTTGAGCAGACGGAAACCACCTTGAGCTTAAGCTTAAGGCTCAGGATCTGGATCCTCCAAGAAACTGGCGGCTCTGCGAACGCCACAGAAAGTACTTACCCAGGAGTACAGTGCGCAGACATCTCTCTCTGTCTGCGACTGTCATTGGTCTACACGCTCTTTACAGTCGCTCGAACGATCCCTCAGAATAGCATCCTAGCCTTGAGCCACGATGGTCGATGCAGACACAATGCAGATCAATGCAGAGTGTCATGCAAACCCCCGGCATCTTGCGCCTGCAAGCTCATCCAGCGTAATCAACGAGGCCCATCGACTCACGAAGAGGCCGAGTGTCTGAGGGCATGTCAGCCGAAAAATGTGCAGCAACTGCAATGGCATCTGCTTCCCAATCAGAACTATCTGGCACATGTTGCGAGAACAAGCCAGCACTCTCTCTTCTTCTACTTCTTCTCTATGTCTCTTGCTTGGGGGCTTGAGGTCAGGCGTTTCCGCGTTGTGGAGCGGCTTGTGCCCAGTGGGGTCTGGATCACCCTGTACGAAATCCCCCCATGTTCAAACCTCTCTCTCTGCTCACATTTCAGAGGCCCGAACCCTCTCCGCAGCATCACGCTGCGCGAGCTTCTTCGACGGCCGCCAGATCTTAGCCGAGCACTGTCGGGCACTCATTGGATTCTCACAGACACTTCGGCTTTGGCTTGACGAAACAGATGTTGGCGACCAGTTTTGCACACGGGCTGCATCCACACTTGCCAAGGGCCTGGCCCCTACGGTGTGGTGCGCCACGCCATCTAGCAGAAACGAACACACTGCTCGGAATTCCAGTGTTGTCCCGACCTTGGCACGTGTCCAGTTGTTGCTTCAAGGCAACAACATCCACTACTTTTTGCACAGCTTCTGCATCATGTCTCAGGCCGACACCATGCGAGTGTCGTACTCCCACCTTGGCCAGCGTGGAAACCCGTTGTGAACGCAATTCCCCGACAGCCAACCTTATCGTTTGTTTATTCCCTATCACATTACAACGAAACCCGCACATCCCGCATCACATCCACCTTGCGCCAACATGTAAACCAAATCGTTTGCGTTTGTTCCGTTCATTTCGGGGCCACCCTTTCTTCAAGTTCCACGGCAAAGCTTCTTACCAAGCGCACCTCGCAAAAACCGCAGCTTGTTCTTGTGAGCTTCTCGGCTTTACGCATGCAATGCAATCAAAAATTGTAAATCCCATAACCAACACGTGAACAGCTGCTTCTAGGGCGTTCTTGAGATCTGCGAACATCGAACATCATTGAACACCCTGTCCGAATCAGAATGCTTGGATGCAGGCTGCAGCACAGGGCAGTTCGGCGGCATTGGAAAAAGTTTCGCACCCTGGACGAACCTGGCAGCTAATCAAGAGGCAGCTATGCATCTAAGCTGACACTCACTCAATCTTATCCAAACTCCGCCAGGCGTGCTCCTGTAGCTGAGATATTGAACCTTTGCTCAAGCCTCGCAACAACGAGTCTCGACGATGCGGATATGAAAGCTATGCTGAACGCTTCCACTTTCGATTCGTGCTCGCGACTCATCAGAGCCCACGTCACATCCATGCACATCGCACTGACACTCCTCTCGCTCACCTGAATCCTCCACGGGCGACGAAGCTGGCGATGAGCCAACACTGCCGCGGCTCCCAGACCTTGTGCGGCAAAAGTGTCCAAAGACCAAGCATGGTTGCCGCTGCACCGATGTGCCCCCTAAATGTCTCTACAAGTTCGTGTCTTGCACACAAGGCGGGAACGTCGAGGTCGCACAAACCTCCAGAGGCACAGCACAAGAGTGTGCACATCATCTAATGATGTTCAGAAGTTCACATGCCTCATGCATTGTAGAATCATTGTGAGCTTTGCCCGAGAAATAGGCAAAAAGACTGTTCCTCGTACAGTTGTTTTGGGATCCTCACGACGAGGAAAAAATCAAGATGAAGTACGTATGCGCGTGCCCAGGTATGATGTACTTGTGATCTGGCCTGGCCAGTGTGGTGCCCAGGCACGTGCGGCAGAAACACACCTGCAATGACACTAAAGCCGGTGGCATGGACTGCACCAAGCCGAACACGTTTTGTAGGAAGAGCGACCAAGCCTGGGGGGTGGTATCCAGTCGGGATCGCTCCCGAGCCTCGGCCACCAGGGCAGGACCACAAAACTCAGACCTTGAGTGCGCGATTGTGCAAACATGAGAAACATGTGCAGACATGAGCAAACGGCTGGAAAAAGATGGAAAAGGAGGTCGGCTTTTGCTCGCCTTAGCAGGAAGTCCTACGTCGAGAGAGCCGGCGACTCAGCAGGGGCTTTGCCGCCCACAAGTCACTACCCATCAAAAACGTCCTGTCGATATCAGCTCACTTGTCATAAACGGACTTGCCGGCGCCGTAGGCGTAGATGGTGACGGTATCCTTGGATCGCTTCACTGGCACCTTGAAGGCCTCGAAGACAGGGTCCGAGACGTACTCAGTGTACAGCTTCTTCACCTCGTCCTTCTTGCCGGCATCAGCAGCCTCCATGATCTTCTCAGAGAGCCCGACCTTCTGCTCGAAGTATCCAGGCTGGTTGCGCCAGTAGCTGTTGAGCGCCTTGAACTTGGGCTCCTTTTTCAGGACCATCTCCATGTCGCCCTTGTCCACGGCTTCCTGCAGCTTCAGGACCTGCGGGCCATAGCGTGCGAGGCACGTGACTGGCTCTCCCTGGGCGTCCGCCCAAGCTGACTGTGCACCGACCGTCGCCACCGTGGCTGCGGAGAGGCCGGCCAGCACATCACGCCGCTGAAGGCCAGGTGCGAAGGCAGGGGCCACGAAGCGCACAGCCACGGCAGCCAGCGCCAGGGCCAGGATAAGGGACAGGGGAGAACGACGCGCCATGGCTTCAATAATTCTCAGGAAGGCTCCCCAGGCGAGCTGATCCACAGAGCTCGGATTGGCGGGAAAGATCAGATATCCCCGGCTACCGTACACGAGCAAGTAGCCACTCTGCTATTCTGATTGTTGTGCCGGTTCCTCCCTCAGATATGTGCGACTCGGGCTCCGTGCCTGCACAAAACCCCGCTTGCCGCGAGCCCTGCGCAGACCGCTGGTGCATGGCTGAACTGCTGAACGACAGCATTCAGCACATCACGGTCACTGCTGCCTGGACAGACTGCCACGTGGAAGGCACGACGAAACACGCCATGCCTGAACCCGAGCACACGGTGGCATTTCACTGCCGCACGCCGTTTTCAAGCTTACCCGGCTCTGCCGGAAAAGGAGCTTACCACTCGCCTTCATGAGGGCGCATGTATGTCAATCATGATTCAACCATGAACTTTCAACAAGCCAGGCTTCGGACTCTGCAGCCGCCGCGCAGGACCTGATTTGCACAGGCTCTACGGCAACACATCACATTCACAGACGCTTGATCCTCGGGACGCACAATGAAGTACGCGGACAATGAGATTGCACAATGACTACATTCCCGCACTGCACCCACTCTTCAAATGACACGACGACCGAGGTAATGACGCGGTCCTGCGCCTGGCTCACGTAGCTACCGGCACTCTTCTGCATGGTTTGAGCCAAACATGCAAGCATGAGTTCCCAGGATGCCCATGGGTGTAGGATGCTTTTGCATCGTGAGATGTGAGGAGCTCGGATCACCTGTGTTGGCTGGAGATTGGGTCCTGGGGACTGCAGGGATGGGAGCTTCAGAACCCAGGATGACTCGGGCTACGCCTTGAACTACGGGATTCAAAAGAGAAATCAAAGCCTCAAGATGCTTTGAAGCACGAGTCGTTCAGCACCAGGCCACCACATCTGCTACTGCCTGTGCCGAGGGCTGTCCTTTTTTTGCAGACACGTGCAAACATGGCTTCACTGGAAAAGTCACTCTTTCAGAGCAAAACGATGCGAGAAGCACATTTCGGGTGCAGCTCCGAGCCCGTCAGGGGGCTCTCTTCGGATATCTGATGACAAGTGCCAACCTCGCGCCTTACCCTCCCTATGAGATTGGTTTCAGCATGCTCTGCTGGTCCCAGAAACCAATAACAACACCTGAAATCGAAAAATGCGGCACCGGTGTGTCGCCGATTCAACAATTGCATTGCTGAATGGAAACTCAGAGAAGCCTGAGTTTGCGGAGCACATTACCGCTACTGAGAGCTGTTCAGCATGTCCATATATGTCCATATATGGGGGTTTCCGAAATTCGGGGTACCTTATTGGGGTTCTTATTACAAGGGGATCCTACTATTTGGGGACTATGTTAGGGGCCCCTTATTTTCGTAAACCCATGTCCATCCAGCAAATCCGGGTGCCCGGCTGGCCTGCCTGACGAGCCTTGGGGCTGCAATGGCATGCGCTGAGGCTCCCGTGTTGTTGGGGGTTTTGCTCGTCCGCCTTAGGTGGAACGCCCCTGAAACCGCCTCAATTTATATAATATGGGACGAAGGAAAGGAACAAGGAGACCAGGCCCAATTTAATGGGTGTTTTTCTCCATCACCCGTAAACACTAGACTAGACTATTAGACTCATTTCGCTTCGCTCAGTAATAAAACACCGTGTGAGCGAGGAAAGGAATGAACTGAAAGTTACTAATGTTGCGGCCGTATGAATATAATGGGGCCGCAAAGTAATACATATGATATACTCATATTTACGGGCCCCAATCACTACCGTCTTCTAGGGGTCCCCCCCTGAACGAGCTGGTTAGTTTCAAGCCTGAGGCTGAAATGGTTTTCGGCCGGGGGGTGGGGGGGGGAACATGCTTTGAGCCGTTTCCCAACCAGCGGAAAACGGGGCAAAACGCTTGTGATCATCCTGGCCCCAGCACCTTACAGCAGACCCCGCTGAGCACCGTTGCATCCGGCTTAACGGCAGACCACCTAGGGACCCCCAACGGCCAAAAGGCAACTGGGAGACCTCCAGAGCCGTCCCGACTTGGGAAGCAGTGAGGGTGACACGCAGTGTGCTCGGTTCTTGGCCCGTTGGCCAGCTAAAGCCCCCCGGTTGCCAATGAGAAAATTAGGACGGGCAATTCTGCTGTGTCCTGGGCACCCTGCCACCATCCTCGCGGCCCACCCAATTTTTTTGGATCTCGTTTTCGGGACCCTCCCTAGGACTCTAGGACCCCACCAAAGCACCTCTGGTCCAGACGCCTGGCACGTCTAGCTCCTGCGTTCTGAAACAAGGGACTGGGGCGGGGTCCTAGGGAGGCCTGAACGGCAGGACAGCCATGGGAATGATTCAACCTGCGAGATTTAAACGCAGAAACCCCTCAACAAAGACTCGATTGTCGAGGACCAGGCTCCACAGGCCTTCTGCGCAACCATCTCCGCCCATCTTGTCGCCGTGGTTGCGAGGTGGCACCTGCAAAAGTATCGGAATGTAGCAGTAATGTAGCGAAGAGTATCTGGAGTATGCATTCTAGCAACGCGGCTTTTGCTCGCCTTAGCAGGAAGTCCTACGTCGAGAGAGCCGGCGACTCAGCAGGGGCTTTGCCGCCCACAAGTCACTACCCATCAAAAACGTCCTGTCGACATCAGCTCACTTGTCATAAACGGACTTGCCGGCGCCGTAGGCGTAGATGGTGACGGTATCCTTGGATCGCTTCACTGGCACCTTGAAGGCCTCGAAGACAGGGTCCGAGACGTACTCAGTGTACAGCTTCTTCACTTCGTCCTTCTTGCCGGCATCAGCAGCCTCCATGATCTTCTCAGAGAGCCCGACCTTCTGCTCGAAGTATCCAGGCTGGTTGCGCCAGTAGCTGTTGAGCGCCTTGAACTTGGGCTCCTTTTTCAGGACCATCTCCATGTCGCCCTTGTCCACGGCTTCCTGCAGCTTCAGGACCTGCGGGCCATAGCGTGCGAGGCACGTGACTGGCTCTCCCTGGGCGTCCGCCCAAGCTGACTGTGCACCGACCGTCGCCACCGTGGCTGCGGAGAGGCCGGCCAGCACATCACGCCGCTGAAGGCCAGGTGCGAAGGCAGGGGCCACGAAGCGCACAGCCACGGCAGCCAGCGCCAGGGCCAGGATAAGGGACAGGGGAGAACGACGCGCCATGGCTTCAATAATTCTCAGGAAGGCTCCCCAGGCGAGCTGATCCACAGAGCTCGGATTGGCGGGAAAACTCAGCAATTGCGCGAGAATGAAGATACACAACATCTGCACGAAGTGAAACAAAATGGGTACAAGCAGCGCCAGGGGTTTGGACTTGGGGTTGAAGAAACCAGCACAGTTGAAGAAACAAGCACAGGTCACGCAACCGCCAACAGCCCTGCCACATAGGAACACGAAACTCAGAGTGCCTCGCTGGGAGAGGTGGGGTAGAAGCCACTGGTTTTGCTCGCCTTAGCAGGAAGTCCTACGTCGAGAGAGCCGGCGACTCAGCAGGGGCTTTGCCGCCCACAAGTCACTACCCATCAAAAACGTCCTGTCGACATCAGCTCACTTGTCATAAACGGACTTGCCGGCGCCGTAGGCGTAGATGGTGACGGTATCCTTGGATCGCTTCACTGGCACCTTGAAGGCCTCGAAGACAGGGTCCGAGACGTACTCAGTGTACAGCTTCTTCACCTCGTCCTTCTTGCCGGCATCAGCAGCCTCCATGATCTTCTCAGAGAGCCCGACCTTCTGCTCGAAGTATCCAGGCTGGTTGCGCCAGTAGCTGTTGAGCGCCTTGAACTTGGGCTCCTTTTTCAGGACCATCTCCATGTCGCCCTTGTCCACGGCTTCCTGCAGCTTCAGGACCTGCGGGCCATAGCGTGCGAGGCACGTGACTGGCTCTCCCTGGGCGTCCGCCCAAGCTGACTGTGCACCGACCGTCGCCACCGTGGCTGCGGAGAGGCCGGCCAGCACATCACGCCGCTGAAGGCCAGGTGCGAAGGCAGGGGCCACGAAGCGCACAGCCACGGCAGCCAGCACCAGGGCCAGGATAAGGGACAGGGGAGAACGACGCGCCATGGCTTCAATAATTCTCAGGAAGGCTCCCCAGGCGAGCTGATCCACAGAGCTCGGATTGGCGGGAAAGATCAGATATCCCCGGCTACCGTACACGAGCAAGTAGCCACTCTGCTATTCTGATTGTTGTGCCGGTTCCTCCCTCAGATATGTGCGACTCGGGCTCCGTGCCTGCACAAAACCCCGCTTGCCGCGAGCCCTGCGCAGACCGCTGGTGCATGGCTGAACTGCTGAACGACAGCTGAACGACAGCATTCAGCACATCAGGCCCGGTCACTGCTGCCTGGACAGACTGCCACGTGGAAGGCACGACGAAACACGCCATGCCTGAACCCGAGCACACGGTGGCATTTCACTGCTGCACGCCGTTTTCAAGCTTACCCGGCTCTGCCGGAAAAGGAGCTTACTACTATTCAACCATGAACTTTCAATAAGCCAGGCTTCGGACTCTGCAGCCGCCGCGCAGGACCTGATTTGCACAGGCTCTACGGCAACGTCCCTCAGGGCCACATGACAAAAATGGGGAGACAGCACATTACAGCACAAATGCCCTTGATCAGGCAACATGTTGAAGCCGAGATAGCGGCACGGCGCCGTGCTTGCCCATCCATCTGTGGGAAAGCACTAGCTTCTCTCGATCCAAACGATCGTTTTGCACATGCCCTGCATCTTGAAAGAAAAATAGACATCTCCCTCCGCAGGCTGCGTCGAGTAAATACTCACATTGCGACGCTTAAAGTGCCTGGCAAGGTGCAGGGACTCGAGCTTGCAGGCCTTTTTCCAGTACTCAGCAGCGTCATTAGACGACAACTGCAAAGACGACGCCCTTATCATCGTGATCGATGTCCAGCGCGCATCCCAAACCTTCACACACGCCGAATGCAAAGCACAGAAAGCGCGTGATCAAACTGGAAGCTGATGCTGGCCACAGGGAATTGCATCCCCACGTTGAACACTGGGCCTATGCACGATGCATCAGAGCGCAGCAGGGCACAGTCAGGCCGCCGGAGCCTAAGTGCAATTGTTTGAAGTTGCCAGGCTGAAGCCATACGAAGAAGTCAGCCTTGGAGTGAGCTGCCTGTATCAGAGTCGTTTGTAATCAGGTCCGAGGCGGAGGCCAATCCAGAAGAATCATGTCCGCAATGGATTGAACCGACACCTTCCAAGTCTTTCTAACTTCTTGTCAGTCTGAGGAAGGCCTTCACACACAAAAGCTTCTCCCACTAGCAAGATTGTAGGTTTCCGTGGTGTGAACGTGTGAACTTAAGGAATGAAGCAGTGAGGACAGCGAGGGCTGCATTGGCACGGCAAGCTGACAACCTCGAAGGCTTTTTCTTTATGGCTCATCGTGAAGAACGCGGGCGCCTCACATGCGACTCAACTTAGTTAACTTCGACTCAACTAAAAAGTCACTCAAGGCTTGACGAGGGCGAGCACGAAGAAAGGGTCTTGCAATGTCTTGCAGGAAGCTCTCAGTAAGGGCTTTCATATTCCATCGACACTTGCAGGCTTGTAACGGCTAGTACACTTGCATTCAACATGTATTCCTGTGCAATGCGCCTCCGAGAGCCGGATGATGTGGCACAAGGTCTCGCTAGTCACGCCAAGGCGGAATGCCGGCAGACAGCGCAGAAGCACCTCCTGACTCACATGCTGTGCGAAGCACAACTTCATCTCACATGCAGTAACGATGCTTATGAAAAGCAGCGTAGGACACTCCTGCAGCAAGTGAACCTAGCCCTCTCAGCAGGGGTGGTGTTGTCAGTTGCGTCTCTTGCTGCATTGGTCTGTGACTGTGAAAAAGGGCCTAAAAAGTGGAAAGCATGGAATCTGCGGTTGTTCCTGCCTTGACAACATCGCCGGCGGCGCCACCTTCTATTGGCTGTGCTTTGGCCTGAGCTGCGCGAGGTCATGCGAGGCCAAAGGCGGGATCGTCTTCGGCACCTGAGGCAGCTGCCACTGGCAGTGAGGTGAAGATGTCGGCCTGCGCGTGGTGTTCGCGTTTGTTCGTGGCAGCCGGTGTATTTTGGAGACCGGCACGCCGCCTCCACAAGTCTGCTACATTTCTTATGCTTTGTTGCAGCGCACCGGTATATGCACAGACTTGCCATGTCTGTTTGCCAGCACGAACAGGGCCTGCTTACTGAGGTGCAAGCGCTTTCGGCTCCGGCAGTGTTGGCTGGGGGCTCCATGTCAGGTTCGCTTGCGACCTGTGTCAAACTCACAAACACAGTCAACAACATGGGTGGATTGGGGGCAATTGCAGACAGGTGCAGTCTGAACACGGCTGATGAATGTCGGCAATGCACAGCGACAAGTTGAAGGGCAACGTTTACGGACGACAGAACGCAGCTCGCAACCTCCGCAATTGGTACCTCGAGGAAAAGGGAGTCCGGCCTCAAAGCAAGCTTCGAGAGCTATAGAGCTGAAGCCTGCCGCACAACCCTGATGAATCTGTGAGAACCCCAGGGTAGCTTTACACCTCTTGCTTGCCCTTTATTTCCTGGGGCGAACGTGAAAGGGCCTCCGCAGGAACACCAGTGCTGCGCCAGCCGCGACTTGGGACACCTCAAGGGATGCACAAACGCGCGCACACACACGCACACGAAGGTGCATGCCGAGCTGGATTGAGAGCTCCGTAGCAGGGAAGCGGGCACCTCGGAAAGAGGCGCTGCGGCAGTGAGGCGGCCGTGGCCCGCGCGACTGCGTGCCTCGCCAAGCGCCTTGGCTCAGGCTCGAACTGCTCTGTGCCACATACACCATCATACACCACTATCCGGGCTTCCAGCTCGCGAAAGAACTCGCTTCAGGGCCTTAACTTTTAGGGCTGCGATGCTTGCCGGTGCTTACCGCTGTGATTCTGGGTGACAGGCCTTCTCGCGAACACCAGGGTTAAAAAGCGACGGGTGCGCCTTTTCAGCACAAACCGATCTGCCACTGAAGCTGGGAGTCATACTCCCCAAGCATCCACTTCGTAGGAACTCATGACATGACTTGCAGGCACGTCCCAACAGATCTGGCTTGCTCACCTTTTCCTCCTTTTTACTGTGAACTTATGAACGTGAACCAGGTGCCAGGGCTTTGACGAAGGTTTGAGCGGTTTCATCAAGACCCAGCCATCACCGGCCGCCTATGGGCCCGGAAGGGTTCCCACTGCTGCAAGAGCAGGGAAGGGGCATCACCATGTCAAAGAGATCTGGGAGAGAACATGCTGGCCCCCAACGCGCCCAAAGGGCCCTGCCTCGGAAAGGAGGCTAGCGCAGAGGACCATAGGGGCATCGGAGTCCCTTCAAACGCTCTGCGAAAACTCTCAACCGGCAGATCCTTGGTGTAAGAGACTTGCTGCCGAAGACAAGCGATAGCTGTACAATCCAGGCCCAGAGCTTGAAAACCAAATCTGTACACAGTTTGCAGGCGTGCTTTGACGACGCCACTGCCTACATCTGCTTGAACTAAACTTGAAAGCATACATCAGCAATCATCAGCATACATCCATGAGGTGGCCTGTGGGCATCAGATGGATGGCTAAGTCAGGCGCGCCAGTCCGTCACAACCTCGTCCTGAGCATGGAAGCAGTGTAAGGCAGGCCAACAGCAGCGGAGGGGACTTAAGGGCCGTTGTCCAACAGTGCCGTGAAATCATGAATTCTGCTCCTGCATTGCTGCCAGCAGGCAGCGGCCGTGTGACGGTTAAGGGAAGTTCAGTGCATCGGCATGATGACAGCGGCGCAATCCTCTTTGTGTCAGCCACGGCCTTTGGCCGTCTCGCTGCTCCACATGCCTTGACAACCTAAACGTACCCAGCCCCCAACTCTGTGCGCCGTCGTCAGCCAAAAGATATTTGTCTTTACCCGCACCCAGCACTGCTACGCATGGCTGCAGTATGCAAGCTTGCCGCAGCCCTGAGTGCGGTGCCGGCTGAATGTCAGCCAAGGATCGTGATTCAAGAAGGCAATGTACTGCAGAACCGGCAGGAACGGCAGGCCCAGACACTGCAACAGCGAAGCAGATGTTGTCAGCGAGTCCAAGCTCAAACAACTTAACATCGTACCGCTGTACCACTTGCAACTTTTGTGGTGGGGTGCGAGCAACATGGCTTCAAGTCCATTGTCGTTGACATGGATTGGTAACAACACATTTTTTTTGCGTGCAGAAGTGCAAGCCGCCTGGACCCAACCTTGGTTCTGGCATACTAGATGCTCTCGCTTCGCACGAAGAGTAGCAGTAGCAGCTTACCGGACCACGTCTCTAAGAATCAAACTACTGTCGTGAGACGAAACACAAATGAGCTGCCCGAACGCGCACAGAATCCCTAGGCTCAAGATGGACAAGTCGAAGGATGTGGTGCTCGCTTGCGCAAATGCACCAACGATATCACTTGGCCAACACAGCAACGTGGAAGATTCACCGTGGAAGATTCTTGCATCAAGACTCAATGGGTGACTGGCTTGCGATGGATGTCGGCATCTGGCGTTGCCTGCATCCAAGAAGTACAGATGTGGATCTTGATGGAGCGTGTTGTTCCATGCCTCCCCATCGGAGTCCACCAGGCTCACACCATCCTGGACAGGCTACTGCGCATCAGCCATCACTCACACATCCGACTACTCCTCAGGAGATGGTCTTGTGCAGCCGCCCACTTCGGCACATATTGGACAGCTCACAAGTGAATCTCGTCCAGCAACCAAAGCACTGAGGGATCTGAGGGGCTCATTGGGGCTGCCTGTCCTGCTGGACAAGGAGCTTCGGCCCGCGGTCCTTGAAAAAATTGATGACTGCCTGCAAAAGGGTCTACAGGTCATGGGGTAAGAGCTTCTGCAGGGGTCCGGAGCCTCGACGCCGCTTCCCAGCACCTGCGTGACCTCAGCAGAGCACGTCCCAACAAGCAACGATCAAACAACTACCAGGATCCACACAAAGCAGGAGCCATTAAAACTAGAATGCAATACACAAACAAACAAACAAACAAGCAAGCAAACAAGCAAGCAAACAAACAAACAAAACCCTAAACCTTCCAAGCCACATAGAAGTGTGCAATACTGAGAATATTTCTCAACTTGAGCAGGCTTGATTCCATTCATTCTGCTTGGGGCCTCCGTTAGTAGTATTGTGTACGCATGTGAACCCATGAAGAACGGTGCTCTTCATCATCGAACCAAATAGAATCAAATGCATTAGCTTCCACCACTATATCACTATATCATGTTAATGCTATGTTGTGGTGGTTGCAAGTCGATATAGCCTCAGCTATTCGATGTTGCACCTGCCGCTGATCAACGGCCTTGTCTGTCAGGAGCGTGCCGGGAAAGCTGTGCGCCATCAAGCATCTGCGACCCTCGGCCACATGCTTCTCAACAAACGAGTAGGACTTTGAGTCCTGTAAGATGCAAGAAGGACAGCTGGCCATACACCTTGTGGGCCATCCAAGCACATCTCATGAAACGAGGTGCGCAATGAGTCAGAGACTCGGAGTACACCGTGAATATGCCGCAGTGGCAAGACCTCGGTTTCACAGCAGCAGTCTCGACCTCCGCTGGAGATCTGGAGTGGCGGGGCCGTTATGGCCACTGCTCGTAGGGTGCCGGAGCCCTGTTGAGATGATGCCAAGGTCGGCTTGCAAGCCACGTACTTGTACTCCCAACAGCACCATGATCGAGGCTCAAAGCTCTCCATGGCCTCTCCTCTGTATCACGGTGCATGGGACCTTGCCAATGACACAGTCAATCGCTTGCTGTCCTAAGCCCAAGTCCGGGTGTGCCAGCACGAGCTGAAACACAACGCGTTCCTCACTGCATTGATTCCAGACTTCGTGCTCATAGGAGTCGTCAAAATGAAGCATGTCACCATTCTGCTGCCAAGCCCGTGTCTCATTGCCAACTCTTAACGTGGCGCAGCCTGGGAAAGGTGAGGAAGAAATTGACAGCCTGACGTCATCATGAAGCCCGACGCTAGAACATGCTGGAACCAATGCCCTCAAACCCTGACTTCGCAATAGAATGCAGCTATGTGCAGCTATGTGCAGCTCCGTTGCCCAACATGCCACTTGAGCTGCGCATTTGTTCTGCCGAAGTGTGGCTTCAACCAAGTTCCGGCTGCAACAGCAGAGTATCCCGCCTCAATGACACACTTTCACGAATGATTGTCTGAGGCTCTCACGTTGTACAAGATCAGCTGTGAGTGTTGACGAACCGAAACCCTTCTGCACATGGCTTCCATCCTTCCCCTGACAAGGTGCTCGAACCACAGGCACTCCCTCCTGACGGAGGCGCCTGAATAATGCACATGCTGCCGGCGAGTCGACCGCACAGGGCGGAGTGCCAGAATCCAGAGTCTCCGAGATGGCATTGACTTCAAACCGATGCCAGTGTCCAAGACGGGATGAGTGAATGCACTCGCCTTCCTGGTGCAGTTTGTCAGCTGCCTTCAACGTCGCGTACTCCTGCTGGAGGCTGGCGAGGGCTTCCTTGACAGCTTTACAAGCACCCTTCATCTGTCTTGCAGCATCCTTGTCCTCACATCCTCCGTGCCAGGGACGACCAACGAGGCCTGGGACATAGTGCTTTGGAAGTTGCATGGAACTGTTGTAACCTTCCTTGCGCAGCTGCTGCAGCAAGCCATCCATGCGACGTTTCATCGCTTTGGCTACACCTACGGGCATTTGCTTGGAGGAGCGCATGACATGCGCAAGCAACTCGTAGTGAACCAAGAGCTTCGGCACATCAAGCGGTATGCCACTCTGCCGCAGCAATTTGAAGCCATGCTCCAGCATGTGCAATGCTGAGACATAGTCCTCCATACAGAAGTGGATCTGCGCTTCATGCTGGTACAATATCCCCAGGGCAGCATCAGGTAACGGTAGAGCCTCTGCTTGATGTATCCACTTCATGGCTTCTTCGAAGCGGAACAGATTTGCAGCATCTGTTGCTAGTGAAGAGTATGACGACGCAAGTTCTGATGGCCCGCTGTCGGCATGCTTGCGCTCCTTGCGCTCCAGCTTCCGCTCCAAAGCTGCCAAATGAGCTTCCATAGCCTTAGGATGGCGAAGCGCCTGCGAATGCGAGTCGCCGAGCGCATCCAAAATCTCAATCACCTCCCCGGCACCGAATGTGCCAAGCCGAGCAATGCAACACTTTTCAACAGGGTCCAGGGAATGTGCACAGGCAGCAGCGCACCGCTGAAGCTCCTGACGGCTGGCAGCTAGCACGTGTCATCACAACGCGGCAGAACCACAGGCAGGGCAAAGAATCTGGAACACCCTGAACCCATCTGCTTGAGATGCACACTGTGCCACATCTTGTTAGACTACGAAACAGATCTTCAAACCGAAGTCCAACCCTGGGTTCCTTCTGCAAAGCCGGTGTGGGAGCATCCTTCTCGGAAAGCTCCTGCGCAGGAGTCACGTACACAAGCTTGTGGAGGCCTTGACTGTAAGCCGTGCTTTAGTGATTCGTGGCTGTGACTCTAGAGCTGCTTTTGCCTCACAAAACACAGAGAAACCGCTTTACATGGCTTATGACCTCGGGCCAAGCCCAAAGCCACACATCGGCCTGCCTGGCCCGCCCCCACCCCCTTGACCCCCCCCCACCCCCCCTACACTGCCACCCCCCCCCCCCCCCACCCCTGCCCCCCCGCTTTTGCTTGAGGAACCTTACCCTAAACCCAAAAACCCCGAAGCCCTCAACCCTAAACTAACCCTCAACCCCAAACCATAAACCATAAACCCGGAACCCTGAACCCTAAACCCAACCCTTATTGCTTGGGGTCCAGCGACTTGGGCGCTGCGGAACCACCATGCTCACGCGGATGCGCCGGGCCGGGCCGAGGCGGGTCGCGTAGCGTTGAAAATAAGCCATTTAAATCTTTCAGTCCACGCTCCAAATCGAGCCTGCAGCTCTTCTGACTCTTCATCCGGAGTGCTCCGAGTCTTCCCTGCATAGAGCTTGTAAAGCAGCCAAAACGGCACGGCAGCGGCAAGGCAGCCTAGCCAGAGCTTGAACATGATGCTAATTGATGCTACATTCCCTCGACTAGTGCGCCTGAGAATCTCACTGTGCCTAAGGAAAGGGTTCTGGCTACAAGCTCCATGCCTTGTCCCAACTCATGTCAGCAACAGAGAATGAGCTTGAGCCAGCTGGAAAGAAAAACTGGAGGTGCTTGGTCGATCAATGTCGATCATGAGACCTGGAAGGCAATGAATACCAGGCCCCGCGCCTAAGAGAGCTGAGGCAGAGACCTGGTACATGAACCCGCTGTGGCGTGGAGGCTCCACCACATCCCACTCAAAGAGCTCAGAGCTGGGGATCTGCAGGAGGTTGCAGGTTGAGAATGGTTGAGAGATTTCTGAGAAGCTCACTGAAAGGGGCCTCTAACAGGTCCGATGGATGCTGGACCGGCTGGCGCAACTTGATCCAATCCATGAGAAGGGGCCTGGTGAAGAACATGAACTGAACTGTCGTCTGGACAGCCAACAGGCAGCCAACAAAGTCGTGCCTCTCGATGTTGACCGAGTTGTCCGCACAGCTTATTCGGTAGCGGAGGCTCCAACCATAATCCTCACGCACACGCACGGCACGCACAGCACACATGGCATGCATGGCACGCACGGCACGCACGCACACAGGCACGCACGCGACACTGACGCACACGATTCTTCCTTACTGAGGTGCTGCCCTTGCAGCGTCCAAGCTCCGCAAAACATGCCGTACAGGCTGGTGAATTTGGTGCACACGGGCCCAGCACGAACCCCGGCTGCCTCTGGCCTAGCCCCAACAGGGGTCAACCATCTTAGGGGCAGTACAAGAGCCTACCGAACGTCCTTGATGAAAAGAAAGAAATCACCAGGTTCGGCCTCAAAGCTTTAATGTTCAAGGATGCACACGTGAAGAAATGCAATCAGCTTTGATGGCACTACCGCTAGACAAAGCGCACTGCTAAGGCACGTGAAGCATAGACAGTTGATGTGCGAGACCGAATCGAAGTATGGCTGTGTCAGCGCCGTCTTAGACTTCGAGGCTACGGATCAATTTCTCTTGCGACGTCTGTGCCATCTGAGACGCACCGGAGCCACCCAAGTCGGTGAAAAGTGATGGCGGCGTAGCTGCTACCTTCAGAGAGCTGCTAAAACAGGTGCCATGTTCAGCGAGCACTGTGGCTTGAGATTGACTGCATCTTCTGGCTTGGCACTACAAGGCATGCTGGAGAGACTCTCTGGCATGATCTGGCATGCGTGTGGCGCTCGCCGCCTTTGTTGGTGATTACTGCCGCGCCTGGTTGATCTTGACACCGTTCGCGAGCGCCATCTCTACCTTACAACACGGACCGGAGGCGACTTGCTTCCGCTGCAACATTTCCATCCGTGCGAGATCCCGCCTCTGCAGCTACAACTTCCGGAGGAAGCAAAGGGGGATGCCACGATGAGCTTTGCTTCCTCTCCACCAGGGGCTCCTGAACACGGCCAAAGCCAAGAGGGTCTGAGGGGCACAGAACAGCATGTACCTCGAACATGCTGTTGCTCGAGCAGAGCCTGGCTATGCATGTCTTGCTGATCCTGTATCTCCTCACTTGGAGGCGAGCCTGCGCCAGTGCAGAAAATTGCGCGACCCGATGCAGTCACCGAGAACTAGGCTGCCTCCAGTGAAGACAGCTGCAAGCTCCTGCCAAGCGACTCAGAAAGAATCATGTGTCACCGGGCTTCCAATCAGTTTGTCGTGCAGAGGTGCTATTTTCATGGCTTGCAAGCCACGCTTGTCCAGCAGAAGTGTCGCCGGCAAGAAACCGTACCACTTCGGCGTGTCCGCGCTCCCCGGCCACAGCCAAAGCACCCTGGCGGCCACCGAAGCCACGCCGCAGGTCCACATCTTCAGACAGGGCTGCCTCGACAGACTCCCGATTGAGTGGAGCCTTGTGCAAGCCAGCAACACGCTTTACCACTTTGATATGCCCCTGGGCCGCAGCCAAACCCAGGGCGCACCAGCCTTCGATGGTGACAGCAAAAGGATCGGCACCGCTCTTAATCAGCATATCCACTACATCCACATTGCCAGCTTCTGCTGCCAAATGAAGAGGCCGGAAGCCAAGAGCTGCCTCCGCCTCATCTACATCTACGCCACTGCTTAGCAATTGCTTCACTTCCTCGACATTTCCAGCCAGGCATGCATTCATGATTGGCTTGTCAAGCCATCGAACAAATAGGTTGAAGGCAACTGACAAACGGGGACTACCACCCGGCCACACAGGATCCACCTCATGCGGCAAGCTCGTTGGAAAGAGCAAAAGCATGCCAGGGTGAGGGGAAGCTTCCACGCAGCGTCCCGCGTCGTAAAATCGCACCCTGGCCGTTGGAGCTGTAGTTGATTCCTGGTATGGGTAGTAGATGCATGATGCGGCACGTGACAGCAGAGCTGGGCCATGATCATGTAGCTGGTTGTGGTGATCCGGCCTATTGACGTTGACCCAGAGATGCTCCGGCTGGCAGCTCACGTACAGGTCCGAGGCAGAAAGCCCTGGCGGCGACTGAGCTCGTCGTGTCTTGTACACGTATCCTGCAAAAGGAGCCTGCACCAGCGAAATAAGCTCGGAGAGGATGGGATGCTGTGAAACAGCTATGTGACTGCTTTGAAAGCCGCCCACATTGCTGACCGTCCGTCCACGGTTGTGCGCTTCCATAGTATGGCAGAGTTTCGCGAGCTCGTCTGCAAGGAAATCATTCTTGATCTCCTTACCAAACCCCCTGCACAGATGGAATAAAACCTAACCGCTGAATTCGGAATTCCCTCAGTGGAAGCCATACCGGAAGGCTTGTGAGGTGGAAGTTTCGGTTTAGCTATGAGGTTACTTCAGATTGAACGTCGCAGGCCCTGCAAGTAAAGCCCAGAACGGCTTGATCGAAAGCCTCAGCATGAACAAAATAGAAGCCAGGGTTCCGTTTGAAGGACTGAGGTGCTCAGCCACTGGAATGGTGTCGCGAGTGGCTGCGACCAGCTGGTGGCAGCTTGCCGTGGAACATAGGCGAAGCTCACTCGTAGCTGCCGGATAGAGTTGCAGAAGATGGCGAGCGCAGCTAACACACACAACGGCGAAACTGCTTTCATGAGAATAAGCCTGAGTCCAGGCCGCATCTGACAGAGCCCGAACGCTGCGATCCAACCCAGCCACGTCCACACCCGAATACACCCTATGACTCGAGAAGTGTTCATCGTTTCCCAGGCTCGAAGTCTGGCTAGCATGATGCCACAGTAAGATATTCTGCCACTACATGCAGAGCATAATTCATGTATGTTGCTTCACAAGGCACAGCCGTGAACCATGCGACACAAGCTACCAGCTGCCGCGCTAGAAATTGAGAGACAAAGAGAGAATGTTTCAGGATGACAGCATCGTTGGGTTTTTCGCGTAAGAGAATTTCTGATCACCTTGGACCGAATGGGCCTGTCTTGTGAGCAGGTCTGGGCTTTGGAGGCTCAGGTATGAACATCCCTGTGGACTTCATCAAGACAAGACCGAAGCACCGCCCTCTTGAAGCTCCTGAGCTTTCGATGATGCCCAGCTCGCGACAGAGCCCGTAGCAGATTCGATTGCCTCAGCATCCGCTCTCGCCTTTGCTGACTTCCAGCGCTTTGCTTCGACATTCTGCGGCACCTTCAGCCCCGATGAGGCGCCGCCCAGCAGCGAGGAGCTTGCAGAAAGCGCCACGCCCTCCGCAAAGCAAGTCGCATTGCACAGCACATTCAAGATCCTTCAATGCAAAGCGGCGACTTGAAATCGCAACTGTTCGTCAAATCTCGGGCCGCGCCTTTGCACCCGATGCTGCCCCATTCAACGCTGACGCGGTCGCGTTCAAAAGAGCGCCCTGCGATGAGCCAAGAAAGTGTACGAAGAGCTAGCATGGTGGAATCTCAATCTGGAGAAGCTGGACAGTGTCCAGAGCTGAACAGACACAAAATCGCCAACCCTTGCTGCCAGTGTGTGAGTGCTTGAAGTCTGCCGGGCCGCGCTGACGCCATCCCACGATCCTGATTCAGATGGTTGAATTTCTGGAGCACCAAAGAGCGCTGTGTAGATGGCATCCTGCCCATGCGACATTCAATGCGGAGCTTTTCTGCTCTTGCTGGGCGGGCTGGGGAGTGGAGCTTGCAGAGGGTTTGGGCGATAGGGAGCTTTTGCAAAACCCCAACTTCGACGACGGCCTCTAACGGCAGGATGCTACCTGTAACATTGCAGCAGGTGGAGCCTTCGGCATATCCTTCCAAACCATACAAAAATCGTGCCTGCTTCCCCTGAGGACATGTATTCTTTCTTGCTCATCGTTTGTAGCTTGTATTGCTAAACAGAATGGTTCTGGGACTTGGCGTAAAATGTTGTCTGTAGTCCTTGCAAAAAGCTCCGGTATGGTGCCCTGCACCGCTTCTGGAACACATTACAACCATAGTGACTCACTTACCCCTTCAAAGCGCCCCTAAACCCAACACCCAAACAGGATGCGAACAGGAATGCATGGCACATCATGGCACCTTCACGGCAAGGAAGTACAGGGAGCTGCGGGAAGACCTCTCGGCCCTCTCGGAGTCGGAGTCGGGTTTGGCCTTCCGGCTGACCCCTCTGCATTTCTTGTCACCACGTGTGAAGGTGATCTGCCGAGGCCTTCGGCCGGAGTTTGAGGAGTATTCCCAACACCCACCGCCGAATCCCCCTTCCTTCTCCCCAATAGCGGAACGGATTCCGGAGTGGGTTTCAGAGAAGGTTCCGGAGCAGGTTCCGGAGCGGGCTCCGGGTTTCGGAGCAGGTTCCGGGAGCAGGTCAGAGGGTTCCGGAGCAGGTTTCGGAGCAGGTTGCTGCAGCGGGGCTTCCGGGGCTGGTTCTGGAGCGGGTCCCACAGCCTGTCCGGAGCGTGTACTGAGCGGGAGCGGGTTCTAAGTAGGTTCCCTTCGTAGCCCTTAAAAGGGGCTCTGGATTCCAACCTGGGAAGCGAGTACATGAAAGCACATTTGAATATATTCATTTGTTACTTGGGCGGGGTTGAAGCATCTGTAGTCCTCTTCGCTGTTTACAGTGGGCTTGTTTGGATCTTTCTTACCTGGAATGGGCCCCATGCGGGAACCGTTTCCATAAAGAGCTACACCCAGCTTCCAGAATCAACTGAATCCAGACAAGGCTTTTGCCCAACCGGGTCCAGAATGTCCAGAGACAAGTCCTGTCTTCTGCTTTGGTCTGGGTCCTGGGTAAGCTGTCCTTATGTTTGCTCGGATGTTGTTGTTTAGAGCTTCAAGGTTTAGAGTTTGGGGTTCTAGGGTTTGCGGCTTAAAGTTTAGGGTTTTGGGCCACCATGGGGTTGTATGGCTTCCAGGGTACTTCTCATCCTTCTTCTCTGCATTCTTTCCTCCACGCTTGCTTCCTTCCATCCTTCTTCTAGAAAAGGACACAAGGACACAAAAAGAATAAACAAGGGGTGTGAAACGTGTTAGGGATCCTGAATATGATTTAGGGTCCATTCCTTCATTTAGCATTCTAGTTTCCGGCTACTTCCCCCTGCCGAACTCCGGAACAGGAGCCCTTAGGAATTAGTATTTATGTCGTGGGCTCAAGGCAGCTTTGCACTGTTGTCGACTTGGAACACTCTTGGCGCCTTGACAGCACTGCCTCGGCACATGCGGCACGCATGGCTTCTGGAGGTTGTCACGAATCCGCTGACCTTGGACACCCCGCAAACATCGTTTCACGTTGACTTTCAAGCCTACGTGAACAATGCAACTTGCAGGCAAGCTGTGGCCAACAACAGCAAGCAATAGAGGCGCAGTTCAGTCTTGTGCACAGCGCTGTGCAGATCCCGATTCCAGGAGACGCAAGAAGGGTGTTTGGTTGCTGTGCTCGCAGGCTGCTGTGCAGCCTGCTGAAGTAACCTTGAGCTGCCCTCTGCTTCTCCCCCATCCGTGGCCTTTGCCCTGAGTCCCCCTCCGTACACATGTTCCTCACCAATTCACTGCTCTCATGCTATAAAGAGCCGTTTATATCTGAAGAAACTTGTGGTCGAAGGGTTGTCTGCAAACATAACTCAAGCCCTCGCAAGCCTTCGTGATGGTCTACTTCGGGGTCTTCCGAGAAGCAGACCGAGGATTGTCGAAGGACGCAAGCCAAAAGCACGGCCAACACCAAGAAGTACAGCCTTTGCAGCCGGCGACGGCCTGCAACCGCAACATTGCCAGTCCGCTTGGCCTAAGCCCTTCCCCAGAATTGAAACAGACATTCCACTGCAACAAGAGCCGTGGCAGGGCCATGTCTAGCTTGGATTTCTTCTCGGGATTATGCTGTAGATCTCTCTTTCAGCAAGCTCTCGCCCCATCTGACACGATTAGATCAAACCCTATTCACCACGCGACTGCCCTTAAGCCTCTCACGCCCCAGTGGCTGACTGCCACCTATGAAATCCGAGGATTGACAGCTGCCAAAAGGCTGTCTCGTGCACCCCTGCAAGTCGGGCCCTTGCACCTCGTCGAGGCGGCATATGCGGTTTGTAGGAGGCCAGGGGCCAGCCATCCATGCCAGGATTTCGAGGCCAGGCCGTCTGTCTCTGCTTTGACTAGCAGTGGCTAAGGGGGAAGCTTTGTTTCCTTGTGCCGAATGGTATGGGCCAGGCGGGTACTGCAAGTATCTGAGTGGGCGCATCATTGCTCCAGTGCAGTTCGCTACGGAAGCTGGTCTCGCAGAAGCCCATTCACATCCAAGCACACGGAATCAGCTGAAGCTGCTGATGCGTTCCAGACAGCACTGAGCAAAAACTGAACTTTGAACCGACAATGCTCAGGTCGTTCGGATCCAACCTCAAGTGCGGATGGCAGGCCCGGCAGACGGGAACCAAGCCTTCAGATCCGCCAAGAAGGCAAGTGCGTGCTCCGTACAGCCCCAGGCAAACACGGACACGGGAAGACAAGGAAGGCGCCAGCTTCGTCGCACCAACGCAGCGTCCACACTGCCTCCCAGTGTCACTGGGAGTGTTATTGGCTACTTCACTGTCACAGCCATCTGGGCTCTGCAGGTGCCTGCAGTGCTGGGCGGCGCATGCGTGGATGCACCAGGCGCCACATAACCCGCGGCCCGGGGTGCATCCTTGCAGGCAGGGGAAGATTCCCGCAGCTGTTTAGGACTGCTTCAGGAACCCTGTTTGCAGGTCTGCTAAGCACAAGATAGCAGAAAGAAACCCGCGGAAAAGGGGGCTTCGATCCTACTTAGTATGGATGAAGCTCAGATCTTGCCGCTTGCCCGCCATTGATCAAGCCTTTGCAGTGTTTTGGATGCTTGTTGGAGTTCAGTTAAACGACTGCGAAAATCCGAAGAGCCCTCAGGAAGAGTGCTTCAGGATCCCCCTTCGAACAGGCCCAAGAGGCGGAAGGACCTTCAAGAAGACGACAGCCATGGCTCAGCGCGCACACCTCCCATTTCGGTTTCATCACGTCCCCTTAAGCACCTTATCCTATCCCTCCCAAGCATCACTGCAACAACGTGAAAAGCAGAGCAAGGCAACGAAAGACCTGCCTCTGCGTAGCCGATGTTGCTGTCTAACCTAGCTTGGCCCACAGCGAAAGCTTCTCCCAGCAGAGAGTAGGGCTCTGAGGCTCTTAGGCCCTGGAATAATCTCAGCCTTTCGGTCTCACTGAGGTGCCCAACGTCTGGGTTAGGGTCCTCAGTCCAGCTGCTGTCTGCGCGGCCTCCTGCCGCAAGTCCGAGGCAAGTCCGAACTTGTTTAGAAAGACTGGATTTATGCTCAGAAGTGCTCAGATGCGCTCAGATGCTGTCAGAAAGAAGCCTGGAGCCTGGCCGCCAGTGACAGGACGGCCAATGAAGCCGCAAGGGCCTGACGAGACTCAGCAAGTCCAAGAGGTTCCCCATTAGAATACCCAGCCTAACCTGCGAAGCCGGTGTCAAGGCGACTAAATTCACCATGCCTTTCAACGAGGGCGTGCCTTATCCCCGACAAGTCTGGAGGCCATTCAACCATGAAGTCTTCACCGATTGAGATCAATAACTACACCTCAAACGTGTTCAAAGCTGAAGTCAAAAAAATGTTCTGACAGCCTTGGCTCTGACATCTTTGACTCTGAACCTGTTCTTACACCCATCACCAAGCACTACGGAATCGCAACCAGACTCAGTCAGTTAATGGGGGTGCGACAGCAGCATGATTTGCCTGTTTCGAACTTTCGATGTTTCCGTTACATAGATGACATGACGACGTGCTTTTCTTGACGGAACGTAATTTTCTTATCGCCATGTCTCTACGACATCAGCTAGATGACTAGTGAAAATGGCAGCTACTCTAAGTATTTTGGCTAACGGAGACGCCGATGTTGTCTCCATTCAGCTTTGTCTGAGTCAGCGAAGCTTTAAGAACTGACAAGCGTGTACGACTGCGGCCACTACCTCTTTTTTTAGGCAGCCTCAAATTCTGACTCCAGGCCTTGCACCCGGTGCCTTACGAAAAGGTCCTAGAAAGCCCATGAAAGCCCCGCGCTTCTTTGGACATCTCCGTCAGGGCACATTATCACACTTGAACAGGCAGCTGCTTTGCTTCGCAGGTCTGCAGCTAGAAAATGAAAGTATTGGACAGGATGTGCTCTTCGAGCAGCACCAGCTGTCACTTAGAAACTTAGAGCCGGCCTCAGTGCGCTCCCTCCTGTACATAGCCAGGTCTGGACTGGACTACACTTTTGCCCTGCACTGCCTCGTGGGGGCGTCTGGAGGGTTTCTACTTACTTGCGACTCGCCGAGAAAAAACCAAAAGCATCAAAAGAAAGCGAACCTACGGAACGAAGGGACTTGCGACCACGAGCCAAAACAGAATTCTTTCAGAAACAAACAGTGACAGGTGTCAGCAGCAATAGAAAGCAACTGCAAGAACACCCACTTCAATATCCTTCCAGGCAACACCCCCGTTACATCGCTATTGTTGTTGTTGCCTGAGTTGCTCAGCTGGATCGTATAGCTTCGTCACTCCCTGGTCCCTGCCACTGTCGACACTTCGAATGATTCAAACCCATAAGCAAGAAGATTCTTGCACGAGCCATCCAGCCTGGCTTGCTCAGGAGCATTTGCCTCGAAACTTTCACTGAAGCATCGCACCGGAGACTCTTCTGGCACGGAGACCCTTCGCAGCAATGCCGCTGGGCTCTCGTGGGGTAAAAAAGCTACTTACATGCCGCTGGCTTCAGCAGCACGACAACGTTCCAAAGACTTTAGCACCTGCGCACGCACCACCAATGGTGCTCTGGAATCCTCGCTGTTGCCGCTGCGCTGAATGGACAGCACAGCAGCATCGTTGTGATGATCCTCATAATCGCGAGCTGAGAAAACTCGCATCAGTTTGTCCTCATGCATCACTTCGAATCCGCGACCCCGCTCGAGGCATTGATGGCTACGAATCACCAAACCAATTCCGTTAAGAGCACAGAATGTCTTTGTGACGTTCCAACCAAATTTAACTGCAGATGCATTGCGCGGGGAGCTGTGAACTCCGAACACGGTCGTTGCCTCAATATCCCCATCCTCTGGGATGGGATCCGACCATAGGATATTGTAAAGCCATCTTTTCTCAGGTGTGTGGAAATCCTCCGAATTAAGAGGGCGGGGGACGCAAGACAGCTCTGCGATTGTCCATTTGCCGTCGCCAATTCCACCGTGGACTGTCAAGATCTGGTCATCGATGAGGCAAGCTAGCGGCAACCACTCGAAGGCCTTGAGCACGAACGATGAAAAAAAGAAACGCTCACATGCCACATGGTGCACTTGACACACTCACATCCAGCTCACAGCTGTGGAGGGGCACCCTTTAACCAACCTCACCAAAAAACGCTTCTGAATCTTGCCTTTTGGAAGAGTTCGAAAGTCTTGGCGCCGTTCGCAGTTCCCAAAGTTTCCAGGCATTCCTCCTCGAAGCCATACTTGCCTGAAAAGGTCGGGTGGAGGGAAACCGGTTTCCAGCTTGGCTCCATCCCGGACTGCTTTAGTGATAAGTCAGGACTGTACGACTCTGGACAGCCCTTCTGCCCTTCTGCCCTTCTAGAATCCAAGATATAATATACTATAGTATAGTATAGTATAGTATAGTATAACATAGTATTGTATTGTATTGTACTGTATTGTATTGTTTCGGACAGTATAGTCTAGTCTAGTCTAGTCTAGTCTAGTATAGCAAAGTATAATCCAAGAACACTTGTCCAACATCAAGGCGCGCATTCCAATCTATCTGAGGCACGATTCATGAGCGTGTCTTCATGGTTGCCCCGCACAAGCCACACATGCGAGGGGAAGGTGAGCTTGAGGGCGAAGAGTACCCCAACAACCTGCAGGGCAGATATGGTGCAGAGCGGACCATGTTAGGGGTTTGGTTTTGGGGTTTAAGGGAAGATCTGGTGGTTTGGGGCTCAGGGAAGTTTAGGGTTGTAGGGCTTGGGGTTCTAGGGTACCAGATCTAGGCTTTTTGGAATCGGGTTTTAGAGTTTAGGGCTTAGAGTTTGGTTTTCTTCTTGGACACTGAACCTCAGAAATTGAAAGGGTAGTTTAGGGATAGTTTAGGGCATGGGCAAATTGGAGCCTCGAGTTGATGAGCACTTGATGCCACTTTGACTTCACTTCGAACTCTCGGTCTCTCTCGAGCTGCTTCTCAACCTTTAGTGAGAGACATTGCAAAGCTTGTGAGCCTCCAGCTGGTGAGCTCCACGATCCACGAAGTCCCCATTGAAGACGTAGTGGCGATCATGGCCAGCACGGCCCGGGACTCCAAACGCGTGGAACAGCAGCAGCAGATCACGAAGCTGACCATGTACATCACCTCAGAAAGAAAGACTGGGGAAGGAAGTGCGGTCTCGACTGGAATCCGCGAATGGTAACTGAAAGCGACCAGGAAAGATCAGGAGTCGGTCTGAGTGATCAATCAATCTGAGCATCAGGCCAAAGACCCGGCAAGGCTGCGGTACTTGTACGACAGTGGCCTCTTTCTGAAGGCTCTGCCGAACCCCGCTGGCTAGAATCATCAGGGTGTCTGTGTAGTCTGCACCTCACAAAGCAGCAAATAAACGCGTAACCACTCACACCCCGCAATCGCTGCACACGAAGTACTGTTGCATCCGATGGTTTTGGGGAACTGTGTCCCTGCTGGCTGGGACCATCACAGCCAGCAGCAATCAGCAGCATCTCACAAGTGCGGACTACAACATTAGTTGCTGTTCAGTGGTACCTATGTGCACGGGGAAGGATTCCGCCACAACCCCTGCTGCGAAAGTGTTGAGTGACGTCGCTTTCAGGTCCACAGCGGGCATGCACATGCCCACGATTGAGCCAGCCGAGAAGCTAAACAAGAAGTTCATTGAGTCTTCTTGCCAATCACAATCAAGCATGTCGGTCTCCTCCTTTCCAACCTGGCATGCATGCATTGAACGAAAGACAGCTGAGACGAAATTGCCAGGGCAATCTCGGGTCCGACACGCTTGTTGCAGCCACGAGGCTCGCTTGATCATCTCCTGCAACAAACGCACAGGCAGCGACCGCACTGACTGGCTCGGTCCAGTCAATATGTAAAAGAATCCGCCGAGGCCCTCGGGCCTAAACTGTAGCGTAAAGTGCTTCCAGTACCCATCATTTTCTGTGCATTGGGGCAATCGGATGTAGGGATTGTTTAGAACCGCTGTCCTACCGACGGACCTAAGTCTTTGGCAAGCTAATTGGGTCCCGAAAGGGGTGTTGAAGGGTCTTATGCTCAAGCCATGCCGCACCACTCGAAGTGGTTGGCTCCAAGATAACTTCCACACATAGTCGAAAGACAAATGCCCTTGAGTTCCTAGAGTCCCAAGCAGGTCTAGGCCAGCCGCGACCCTGTTTGAAGCGCGCATTCCATCTCCATCCCCGGGCGATTCCACGCGGAAAGAGAACTTGGTGCCGAACTTCACAAAGAAGCCCCTGTTGTGTGAGGGTCTATTTGGCATGGATTCCAGCTGTGCAGAAGACCAGGAGCATAAGAAGTCGCTAGAGGCACCGTGCTCAAAAAGCAGAAAGCGGGCCATGAAACAACTCGCTGGTCGTCTTGTTGTTTGGGATTAGATTTTGAGGCATGCTGGTGCCTGGAAGAGCGGTGTTACGGCTGCAACCCGGCTCTGTCTGGATGCAAGAGCTTACATTGTTTGCCCACGTCGGGTTCGTAAAGCGCTGGCAAGAGCCCTCGAGAGCTGCAGAGCGGCTCCAATTGTGCAACTCCAGTCGTGCTAGCCTGCCACCACATATGGACCCATTCAAGCTGAAGCGCCATCGCGACGACCTACAGGCGTGCTACGGCGATTCGACAAGATCTTGGCACCCGTCTCCTCTTGAGGTGCACACACGTCATGCGACAGTGTAGTCTTCAATGGTCCCCAGATACACAGCGAAACAAGGCCAGGTACTCATGCAACCCTCCATGGCTTTTTTTAAGTACCTTTCACAACAGTGGCACAGAATTCTGCAAGAGTAGGTTCTGCAACACGGAGATGCAAGCCCGACGCCACGCAAGAACCCAACATGCGGCACTGCTGAAGATGAGATGCATGACAAAAGGATGCTTAGATTGCAGAGTCTGAAGGGACATGACAAGATTTTGCTGAAGCTCCCTTCTCCTGGAGCTGGCTGACCACGGTAGCAGCGCGACGCACAACGCCACGGCCCACAGCTTTCGAAGTTACCCTGAGGTGAGTGCGGGGTCAGCAAATTTCCAGGTGTGTTGGTCAATGGTGGTCATACAGTTTTACCGTCAGCCCGCGGCGCAAGTGCCACACGGAGAAGCTGAGTATGCATTGTGTGATCAAAACGTGTCTATGCAAAATCTTACTGGTGATCAACATGTTGAAGCTGATACGGGAACCGTCCACAACAGCCAATAGAAACACCTCAAACTAATCGAAGCATCCTGCATCTTCACTGGCCCATCATGCTGCAAAGCGACTTTGCATCCTTCGACTCCGACGTGGACGTGAAGCGGTTGAGATATGTACTGCCGTGAAGGGCGACTGCCAGCAGGCCCAGTTTTCGGCCTTGGTTCCATCCCCAACTTCCCACAGCAACTCTGATTTAGGCTCTCGGGAGGCTCTCGGGAGGCTCTCGGGAGGCTCTCGGGACGAAGTCGGGGAGCCTGGGTTGTCGGGACGACGTCTGGGACTAGGCTCGCGGGACGAAGTCGGGGAGCTTGGGTTTATTTTGGGAGCAGGGTCTAGGCTCTCGGGACGAAGTCGGGGAGATGGGCTTTTTTGCAGTGCAGGGTTTATGCTCTCGCAACTAAGTCGGGGAGCTCGGGTTTAGGCTCTCGGGACGAAGTCGGGGAGCTTGGAGTCTTTTGAGTTTTTGGGGTTTAGGCTCTCGGGACGAAGTCGGGTTCCAACCCAGAAGTTACACGCCCGAACACAAACAAAAATGAAGAACGAAACCCTAAATCAACAACCCAAAGACGTCAACAGCTCCAGGATGACCTGAACATATACCTGAACCCTATCACCGTTGACCCTCACGTCACGTAAAGATACGTAAAGGCCTCAAGACTCCTTGGTCCCCTTACCAAAGCATCCACAGAGCAAGCATAGACTCTACAAAGCCTTAAGATAAAACCCCAAGCCACCGAAACGAGACATTCACGAAAGCTACGAGAGCTGGACGACATCCACCTTTCACGGAATCACGAATCGGTAACTCTATTAGCAGCCGGTCTCGCTCTGAGCCTCTGGCGCTGACCATGCTGCCCTGGCCCCTTCTTGCGACACCACAAAGCCTTCCCAATCAGAACGCCCCAATTGGTGATTGCATCTTGATCGTCATGCCTCGGAACATACCATCAGCATAGCTTCGTCGAGGAAGACACCACAGACGCACCTACCTTCCCACTGAAGGTTTCCAATACCTGTCTTGTTAAATGCGACTCCATGTGAGCAAAAGACATTGCTGCCAGATCCCTGAGCTGTTGGACACCCCTTTGCACCCCCGCTGTTGAACAGGATCTTGCAGATCTGTGACTCGGAATCTTTCCACGCAACTGTGAATCCGGCCACGGGAAGCCATGAAAACAACTCCGCATCTATTTCTCGAGATTTGTTCGTTAAGGTTGCCCAGCCAGCCAGTACAATGATGGCATGGATGGCAGGAATCTGACGAGCTGTGGCACTCTGGATATGATTTGTTAGCTAAGCACTGCGTGTCATGGAGATTGTGCCTGCATGTTGCAACACAGGCTGCAACGAGCAGCTTACACAGTAGGAAGCACCTCCATGCGACTTGTGCTCTTCCTCAAAACACCCTTCCTAGTCGAACCAGTTCATGCAAGGCGCACATGTGACGACTGACTGACACTCTTGATAGAATCAGACACAGTTGAAGATGTGCCGTCCGAGTCGGTCCATGCACGACGTTGCCGGGAACGCACGACATCACCACCCATGTCTCTGGTGACGGTGGCTCTTGTTCTGGGATCGTATTCATCCTCGGCATGCACTCGGACGCTGCGAATGCTCTTCTGTCTTGCTCTTCCGATGCTCTGCATGCAATCACCTAAACTTAAAGCAGATGGGGTGAACGCAAGCAGTCAGGAACATCAGGCAAGGTGCGTATTCCATCTGCACCGTGACATCCTGAGATGGATGAAGCAGCTGCTGAATGTCTACACAGTTACAACCCGGTCGTGTCCATGCGTCGCACTCATTCCTAGGCATCCAGACATGATTGTGATATAGCGGAGCGTATGGCAACCATTCTGCAAGTATGGTCCACATGATGAATGAACGTTGACTCGAAGGTTGGAAACCACGAACTCCGATCAGATCGAGCAGCTTGTGTCCCACAACCCGACACAACCGCACACAAACATGTCGCACGATGTCGCGTGACTTTTGAGCTGGGGCACGACACGCATGCAAAACTTGCTACCAGGTCTCAGGCGCAGCGATGTTAGGGGATGGAACCAGGCTGCTAGCAGCACTGTCCGCTCTGTGCGGAAGCACTTGAGGAAGCACTTGAGGAAGCAAATCTGGGAATGAAGACTGCTTCACCAGCCTTAGCAACTTCGATCTCAGCGCCACTACACACTACTGGCACATGCCGTGGTTCAAGTATGGTCCATCTGAGCAGGCGACTCGTTGCCCAGGACGTCTTCGGACAAGAATGACCGGCGCTGCGATGCTCCTGGAAAGGCCTGCAAACATCTCTCCCCTACTAGCACCGCTTCTCCTGCTGCGCTTAGCCGCTTAGCCCTGACGTGGTTCTTGCTTGTGGCTTTCGAGGTGTTGTCGCCTCTATCTTGGCTGTAACATCTGCTTGTGCTTGCTGTTCCAGTTCGGACTCTGCAAAACTGGCTCCTTAACTGCTGATAAGTATCTCAAGACCAAGACCTTCGTAAATATGTTCAACCTGCAGCCCTTTCACCCTACGAGGGCGACAAGGTTTTTCGGGTACCATTGCTCAAAAAGCGCATCATCACCATTCCAATCCGCCAGAAGAAGCAGCAAGAGCATGCGGGCGAACTGCAAAACCACAGACCTCACATGCCCCTGGCGGGTGATGTCAGCACAGAACAGTCCACAATGCCACATGTTTCTGCATATGTTCTTCAGAAGCAACGAGCAAAGCTTGCACAAATTGCACGTGCGCTAGTCACTTGTAAAGACGAGGAGGGTTGCTAAGTTGCAGCGGGCTTGCTTGCCCACATTGTGTCAAGCAAACGTGCACACCACTTAGCCACCCTGCTCGTCTCTACAATAATACTCTCCCACTGGTCAAATTCAGACTCCTGCGAACGAAGCTGTGAAGTGTTGTGGGGCGCAGCTTTCACGTTGCGATTTGAGACTTTCGGTCTTAGGCCTTAGGCATGCTGACATTTGAGGGTTTGCCGTGAAGTCTGTCGAGCGTCGAATGCCATGAGGCGATAAGTTGCAACCTAGACAGCTTCAAGACTGAAGGATCCATTCGTTAGTTCCTGCCTGGGGCAAAGCTTGGCTGTCCATCTCTTTGGCGGATGCTGGGTGTCCCGACTCAGGCCCACCTTTGAGCATGGAACAATCAATGACAATAGAGTTCCAGTGCAAGCAAGATAGTTTTCTAAAGACAACCAAGCACAGAAAATATCGAAAGATCGAGAAACATGAAGGCGGCTCGTCAATAACTTGATGCCATGAAAAAGAAGTGCGGGTTCCGCTGCATCCGCAGGCCACAAGCTGAAAGGGCGTCGACCTAGGTTTGCTCAATGACAGCACCACTACAGCCGCTAGAGTGCTCCAAAAGCACCCACACACACACACCTACACCCACACCCTCGCAGAAATGTGTCACGCAGGACGTTATTCTTTGGGGAACATGTTATATTGGAGCCGATGATACATTGTCAACCTAACTCATGAACTTGAAAGAAACAGGCAGGTACGGGAATCGGAGAAAGTCATGCCAAAAGCCATGCCTTGTGCACGTTCGCCATCCAAACGCACGCGCAAGGAAGTCACGCCAAGTCATGCAAGCCGAACCTCCCCCATGCAAACGCATGGATTGCACGGTTACCCAAAGCAGCGAATTCGTTACGAAATTCGAAGGAACGCTTAGCCTAAGTATGCCTAAATACGTCATCCAAGGCGACTCAATCACTTGACTCGTACCACAAAGCAACGAACTCCCTCCCAACTCCACAACGTGCATCGTTCAGGGACTGCTTCGTCCCATTTTTTTCATTCTTGCGCAGCGAGATTTGCTCACGCTTTGCAGTCATTTGGCGGGGGTAGCACCCCGCACTGAGTGCCTGTACTATTGTGATACAACCGTTCATCCCGTCAAGAAAACAATGATGTACGGTTCCAGTCGCCCCGTCTCAATGAAGCGCAGTTTCCCTCCAGTGGCTTGACTCGCGGCATCAAAAAAGATGAACGTTCCACTTGGGTTCGATATCACCCTTGGCAAATCCACAACGTCATTTCTCAGAGAATGGAAGCGGGGTCAGTCAATCCCAACGATACCCCCAACATCCCCCAACAATATCTGAACAAGCCCTGTACTAGACCTGGTTCCTGCT